GAATTTATTTTTGCTAAATTTAGTGGTAAATTTAGGGAAAATTTCCCGCTAAATTGGAGAGGAGGATGGGAGGGTACAAATGAGGAGGAGGGGCTTACCCTCCTCTCCGCATCTTCCTAAACCCCCTCCTCAAGAGCTGCGCTCTAATTCCGCGTTACAGGAGATTTTAAAAGTGTTTAGGTTTTTAGACGCACAGTAACATCGCGTAACGGTGGCTTAAGGAGCACGTGGCGTCCATGCCATATATTTTCTCTTGTTTTGTTTTTCAACATTGCAGTATTTATATTCGATGTTAGCACAAATAAACTTCAGTTGTAAGTCAGCGCCAAGGTTTGTCTACCATCTCGTCCTTGTCCGTATCTTTGCGCTGTTTTTAATTTCTAATCATAAAATAACAATAAAAAAACTAGCCCAAACTTATACATTAGCCTAAATGACGTTTACACTGAACGACATTTTGCGTTAATGCCATTTTAGGTGCCCTGTGACTCGGGTACTATACTAGGCACCTGACGTTCATCAAGCTTGACCAATTTATATTGCTATTTATCTAAAATAATTTTGGCGAGAAAAATATCTTACATACATTGTACGGTCCACGCCGTTTCGCTAGAAAAAACGCAAGAACTTTCTCACGAACTCTGAAAATTCTTTGGGCGTAAGAATGAGATGACTAATCTTTTTATTGTGTTGACTGACTCAGTGTGAAACGCTTGACAAATTCTTTTCTATAATTATGTCGGGTCATAGCCATTAGATATCACCGCTTCAAGTATCAGTTGTCAATAGTTCATAAAAACCAAAGATTTTCCAAATGCTTCTGGGATCTATCAGAAGATGAAATTACAGCTCCTCCACTTGGTGAAAGGTCACACGGGAATGTCCGCAGGTGCCATTGAAGGTTCATTGAACCAGGATTTTATTAAATGCCTCGCGCTTTAATATGCACCGACCTCACAGCGTTTTTTTTTCTTCTTCTTTTTCAAACCCACCATTTGTTTTTAATACTTTTACAGCTCTGAATTTTTAAAGAGGGGCGTGAATCCTAAAATTAATGCCAGTTACTTCCAGAGAGATCCTGTTTCGAGGTTTAGGAAAGAAAATCATTAGCATCTATTACCCAGGGGAATCGCGACGCTTTATATTATTTAATGTCGGGACAGGGTTCGGGTAAAGAGGTATATATGCAAATGTGAGGCACCCATCAAGCGTCACTCATCAAGCAGGCGCTTAACCGATCGGGAGCTCATGTTTCCAGTTTGCGATCTCTCACTCGTTAATCTTTCGGGGTTCCTTCCTAATGTGATTTGAATTACGGTAACGAAAAACCGGCTGATTTGTTTTTTACGCGGCAAACTCGCAACATGTATATCGATGTCTTTTTTTTTTGTTTTATGGCCTTTTTCTCGCAACGTATTTATATTTTTAATACAATAGAAACCGCTAATAACTTAAAAGACTTTGGGTGTAGCGAGTCTTCTGCATACCATTATCGCTACGCAACCAATAATATTGCAGGATTGGCCTATAAGAGCGCCGAACGACCAATCATGATGCAATGAGAGCGAAACATGTCATGGTACACCATGCGATTCATGAGCTGTCAGTGACTCTATACATCGAGGCATCTTCGGTTGAGCGCCAGGGAGGAGACACTTCGAGGCTGTGGCATAACATGCTCAAAAAGAACCGGATAAAAAAAAGTGGTAAATGAAGCATTGTTTAACCTATAATGTAACGTTGTGTGAGAATGACATTGCATTCGTACGCTTTGCTTTAAACAGATCTTGTGTTCGTTTGACCGCCATCGTTTGGCATAACTACACGGCATGATTAGAAGCGACCAACATGTATTTCGGCATCCCCAGAAATCGGAGCCGGGTTCGCACTGTACAGGCTGTTAAGAAACCGATTCAACTGTTGCATTCAATTATTATCGAAATAAAAAAAATCAAAGAAGAACAAAACAAGATATATATAATTGTAGCATTACCCGAGATTGCGGTGACGACAGAAAAACGACAGGAAGAAGAAAAGCAACCTCAAAATAAAGTACGGATAAAGTCCGAAGATAAAATGCGCAGCGTGTTCTGAGTTATCCTGAATGTTTATTTCTGAGGTTTTGTGAGCTTGTCATGCGTTGAATAAGTCCCACGGTCACGTGTGTCACGTGTTTTGTGTCGCTAATGTGTCACGGGACGTCGGTGTACAACGTTGCGGTGTCACGTCCGCGTCACATGACGGCGCGTTGTAACGTCCCTTTGTCTCACGTCACACGAGACGTCACGTGTCGCGCCCTGTCTCTTGTTACGTCTTACGTGACTGGATGTCACACCACGTCACGACGTGACACAGTCAAGATTCCCTGACACGTGGCCATACCTCGGCAAACCTCACTCATGAGGGCCCTCACTCACCCTCACTCACCCTCATCCTCACAGGTGAGGTGAGGGTGAGTGAGTTTCTGAACCAGGAAAATTCATGAGTGTGAGGGTGAGTGAGGGCCGTGAGGGCGGTGAGGGCCGTGAGGGCGGTGAGTGGCGTGAGGGCTATGAGTGCGTGAGGGCCGTGAGGGCGGTGAGGGTGGTGAGGGCCATGAGTGCGTGAGGGCGGTGAGTGCGTGAGGCCCCCTTCAGATCGAGCATCTTTCTCAGCAATTTTGGTGTTAATGGCGGGTTGTTCTCTAGCTTTCCCTAGATCGACACGAATTGCTGAGATCGGGTCCGGCTCGAAATAAGCAAGCAACTCGGAGCAATTCGAATACGTTTGAAGCGGCTGCATCCAATCAGGGACGCAAAATTTTCACGTGATACCTCGTGCCGGTGATGATGACACCGAAAGACTTGGTTCTCGTTTGAAATCGATCGTTTTTTTTTAAAATAAACTGTTTCAGAAAGGTGCATTAGAATTCTTAACGAGGTTTAAATGCATAAAACACGTTTATAACGCGTAATTGTGTCTAAATAGTGCAAGAAAAATAAAATTTTATGATGACGATGGCAAATTGCAGCAATTGGTTGCTGCGTGCGATCGCGGGCGGCCCGTGTTGCTGGTGTTGCGACGTAAAGTTTCTGCGCGAAATCGCCCCATCTGAAGCTGGCCTGAGTGGCGTGAGGGCTATGAGTGCGTGAGGGCCGTGAGGGCGGTGAGGGTGGTGAGGGCCATGAGTGCGTGAGGGCGGTGAGTGCGTGAGGCCCCCTTCAGATCGAGCATCTTTCTCAGCAATTTTGGTGTTAATGGCGGGTTGTTCTCTAGCTTTCCCTAGATCGACACGAATTGCTGAGATCGGGTCCGGCTCGAAATAAGCAAGCAACTCGGAGCAATTCGAATACGTTTGAAGCGGCTGCATCCAATTAGGGACGCAAAATTTTCACGTGATACCTCGTGCCGGTGATGATGACACCGAAAGACTTGGTTCTCGTTTGAAATCGATCGTTTTTTTTGGAAATAAACTGTTTCAGAAAGGTGCATTAGCATTCTTAACGAGGTTTAAATGCATAAAAACACGTTTATAACGCGTAATTGTGTCTAAATAGTGCAAGAAAAATAAAATTTTATGATGACGATGGCAAATTGCAGGAATTGGTTGCTGCGTGCGATCGCGGGCGGCCCGTGTTGCTGGTGTTGCGACGTAAAGTTTCTGGGCGAAATCGCCCCATCTGAAGCTGGCCTGAGTGGCGTGAGGGCTATGAGTGCGTGAGGGCCGTGAGGGCGGTGAGGGTGGTGAGGGCCATGAGTGCGTGAGGGCGGTGAGTGCGTGAGGCCCCCTTCAGATCGAGCATCTTTCTCAGCAATTTTGGTGTTAATGGCGGGTTGTTATCTAGCTTTCCCTAGATCGACACGGATTGCTGAGATCGGGTCCGGCTCGAAATAAGCAAGCAACTCGGAGCAATTCGAATACGTTTGAAGCGGCTGCATCCAATCAGGGACGCAAAATTTTCACGTGATACCTCGTGCCGGTGATTATGACACCGAAAGACTTGGTTCTGGTTTGAAATCAATCGTTTTCTGGAAATAAACTGTTTCAGAAAGGTGCATTGCATTCTTAACGAGGTTTAAATGCATAAAAACACGTTTATAACGCGTAATTGTGTCTAAATAGTGCAAGAAAAATAAAATTTTATGATGACGATGGCAAATTGCAGCAATTGGTTGCTGCGTGCGATCGCGGGCGGCCCGTGTTGCTGGTGTTGCGACGTAAAGTTTCTGGGCGAAATCGCCCCATCTGAAGCTGGCCTGAGTGGCGTGAGGGTCATGAGTGCGTGAGGGGTGTGAGTGCCGCAAGGGCGGTGAGGGGCGTGAGGGCGGTGAGTGACGTGAGGGCGGTGAGTGGCGTGAGGGTGGTGAGTGGCGTGAGGGCCGTGAGGGCGGTGAGTGGCGTGAGGGCTATGAGTGAGTGAGGGCCGTGAAGGCGGTGAGGGCTGTGAGGGCCGTGAGTGGCGTGAGGGCGGTGAGTGAGTGAGGGGCGTGAGGGCGGTGAGTGCGTGAGGGCCGTGAGGTTCAGTGAGGGTGAGTGAAGGGCTGAAGGTGAGTGTGAGTGTGACGGTGAGGGTGAGTGAGGGGCTGAATGTGAGTGTAGCTGTGAGGGTGAGGGTGAGTGAGGGGCTTAGGTGAGTGTGGCTGTGAGGGTGAGGGTGAGTGAGGGCGACCTAAAATGCCGACCTCTGCACGTGGCACGGTGACATCCCATGGTTGGCTTCACGTCACCCCGATGACTTTACGTGACAACCATCTCGCCGAGGACGTCGCTTAACCGCTGTCTCACTGAAGATACCAAATGACCCCGGTCCGCTAAATCTGGCGGTCGTGGGACGGTCTTTAGTGGCGTCAGGCCAGACGTTCTTCGGAAATATCAGCCCTTAGACAGACTGTGTTCAAAGAAAAGTTGTGGTAACGATGTATTTAACGTATCCATAAGCTTTGTTTGTTCCTTGTTGTTTTTGGTGGTGTAGGGCTTTGACGACAACCAACCTCACAACGTTTCATGTTACCTTCCCCAGGTCCCTCCCGGCAACCATGAAGAGTCTGGCCAACATGATGCGTCTGGGCAAGCAGAGGTTCCTCTCGTCCGACGACGACGAGCGCCAAGCGCTGCGAGGCGCCGAGGCCTCCTACGAATATGGTACATGCCTAATTCCAGATGATGGAACACAGATGCCTAATTCCCGAGTACAGTAAGGGATTAATTCACATGATGTTTCGAATTTTTTTCTATCTGTAATTTCCACAATATTATGGGCAAAGAGCTCCACTCGGAAATGGCGGCTACAACGGGGAGTTGAGAAATTGGTTAGTACGAAATTTTCGTAAGCAGATTTTATAAGGACGATCGTTGTCCAGAAAATTACAAAAAGGGAGAAGTAGTAACCGTTCCTTGAATGCAACATTAAACTCAGAAATGTTTAGAATAAATGGGAGATGGAAAAATTTACGTCTGGCGTGCAATGAAGGCAAATTCGCTGTATGTTTTAGGGCCGTTACGCCCAACTGGTGAATAGTTTTTAGATATAAAACGTGCTTTTTTTTAAGTCTTTGTACATATTCACATAATCTTGAAAAGTAGCCCATATGATACCAGAATAGTCAAGTTCAGACCTGACAAATGATTTGAAAGCTCGAAGACGAGTACCGGTAGATGCTATACACAAAAGTAAGAGTAATACAATTGGCGATAGTTTAGGAACGCTCTCAAGGACTAGTTACTGTATACTGCGCCATGTTATACACTCGAAAGAGAAATACTAAGTCTTCCTTTAACAGGCCTAGTCAATAAAATGACTGAGCGGCATGCTGCCGTGATGATCATCTAAAGCAGTTTAGAATAAGGCGTAAATATTGGTGTTCAAAATCACAGGGATGTTTTGGACCCATGATTTTAACGAAACGTGTAAACCCTAGGTCAAGCGTTGGGGAAATCAAATATATAATATCTTCATCTTGCAGTAAAGAGACATGTTCGGATTCTACCAATCCAAGTTTTGTTAGTAGCCGTGTCGATCGAGAGAGCGATAATAATTATGTTGTGAGTAGCCATGATGATTTCATGTATAAAAAGTGGGGATGATTTCATTATATTATTTATAGAAACTATACACTTAACTACAAAATTAGTCAGAAGGTAAGGTTGTTAGGCGTTTTTGTTTCCTACAAAACATACCGGGTTCTGCTTCCGCACTAGTTCAGTTGGCCATTAAGTACTGGTGCACATCCTATAACAAGTAAAATTCTATGGCCATTGGAACTTGATTCCGATTGTCACTATGATTGGTTCTTCTGACTACAAAGTACAAATGATATGTTCTGTCAATGAATCACGCTGTAGTCTATACTTAAGGATAAGTGAGAGTGTGCCTTTCATAATATCATTGCAGTTTTGAAGACACGCCGCTAAAAATAATCTCCCTTGGCAAATTTAAGATAACAAAATACAGAACTTGGCGAATTTTTACAAAAACAGGACTCCCGTTTTTATTTCATTTATTCGAATTCTAAAAGGCGTTCTTATCGGCCAATATCGCAATCTCATTGGCTGCGGAACGACAATAAGATTAGGAATGTCGCGAACCTGCCCAAGGTCGAGTTCGACCAATTTCGACTTTGTCGAACTTCGAACGGGATGTTCGACAACAGTTCATCTAAAGTTTAATATTTTTTGAGGATGCACGAAGCTTAAATAAAAAAACCAAAAGAAACAAGATGACATCAACTGGCGGAAAAAAAGTGCAATATTGGTTAGGTGTATTGCATCACTGGTTCCCATTGTAACTAACATATGCGTTAAAAGTACAAACTTTTGCTTTTATATCGTGTCAACGTGGCTAATAAATTTCATTAATTATAAAATAAACTACTTTTTATATTTTTCGCAATATTTCGTGTAGAAGCCGGGCAACACTCTCCATGTGTCGAATTTCGTCGAACTCTGCGAAAAGTTCGAAGGGTCGTCGAGCCAGTCGAACCCCCGAGGTTCGACGTCGACCTCGGGTCCGACAAAGGTTCGCGACATCTCTAAATACGATGACTGCGGCTAACTACGTCCCGCGGTTCTAATGCTGTCCGTGACCACTGTTAGAGACGTAATTTCGGACGTCTCACAAGGGCTTTGTTCTGTCCGTCGAAGACTTTAGCTGCCTATCACTCCAGCATTTAATGCCGATGTCAGTCGATTTCAAGAAATTGAAGTAAACGACGACAGTTTATACTGAACATTTACAAAACAAAAAGAACCAAAACCAGGGGTAAAAGTCGGTAGAATAGAGTAGAGCAAGGAGCAAGTTTGGAGAGGAAGGGAGCTTGAAAAAAAGTGGGGAGGAGTAGGCAGAAAAGTACTCTCTTTAGGGAATGAACAGACGGGAGCCACAATGTGTTTGTAGTCGAGCGTTAACTATTTCCCCAGACGCGCCTCCCATGTTTTGAGAGGCGATGTCCCCGGTTCCCTTTTAGCCGAGAAGCACAAGGCGCCCCGAAAAGTTCTCATACGTCCCCCGCTTTAGGGTTCTGCTCTTAATTGAGTTTCCTAACTTGAGAAATTCCATAGCATCCCTCAGTTGGTGATGGCGTGCAATAGCGTTTCCGAAAAGCGGCAGCGCGCGTGGGTCTTCCTCATTTAGGCGGGCCGGGGAGAGTCTTAAAGCTTGTTCGGTTTTATTCCGCAGCGACGACAATTAGAGCTGAGAATCCGGAGCAATTCGAGAGCGCGACTGGAACTACGAACAGAGCATTCGAGGCACCCGCATAAGTGCAGTCGTGGTTGGGGGCAATACCGCGGCAAGCTAAGCTCTAATTAGATCGTGAACATAGTCGACCGTATGATGTCTTGGGTGGCGTTGTAAGTGTCGGTTAGTGTTTGGTTGGGCGGCGTGGAATGATGCAGTGAAGACTCTGGTGACTGTGACGAAAAATGACTCATCAAAAGTATATACCTTTGAGGCTTCGTAGAACTTTGTATAGGGTGTCCGAAGCGAATCTTCTTCAGTAAGACGAGCCGGAAGAGTCTGCGCCTTAAAATAGAAATCCAAAACTTTCACTGAATGTACACTGAGAACGTCAGTTTTACTGTCAGAAATTTAAAGGTGCAGATCCTTTCCAATAAAAACAAATAAGAGCGAAAATTTTGCAGAGTCTAGGTTGGCCGCGTTCGCAGACGACCGAGTTGGCGACGCTAGTTACATGTGGCGCCATCTCCTGATAGGAACAGCGAGCAGACAACAGAGGGCACCGTCTGCTTGCTGCGCGTATTGGGAGGTGGCGCCACGCGGTCGCTGGCGAGGTTGTCCGCGAAAGCGCCCAGCCTTGACTTTTGGCAAGTTTCTTGCTCTAAGTTCTTACAAAGAAAGAACTGCGCCTTGCAATTTAACGCGGTAAAAACAGAACTCCTCAATGCTCATTCGGTGAACAGTTAAGCTTTCCATGAGCTTGTACTAATTTTTTTCGTATTTGCTTAGAACAGAAGGTCTGCTCGAGAGGCCCTGTGCAGTTACCGACAGCTCCAGAAATGTAGGGCGTAACAAGTTCCAGGCATCTTACTGTCCTTCCGCGGTCAATGAGGTTGCGGCACTGGCGAATGAGAACACACAGAAGGACGAATCACAATGCAAGATGCGTGAACGTAAGCTACGCCCTGCGTTTCTCAAGCTGTAAAGGATGCATGACAAGTTTTTGGATGTTGCCAGATGTACGTGTACAACGCCAACCGTATTTCTTTATTTGACCACGCTCAGGACTGCGGTACGACTGCCCCCCGCAGAGCCCTTGGGAGAGACCGTCGCTGTCATTTACGCAGGGAGCTAAAAAATGACACGGCTAAAAAATGGTTAGGCCGAAAAAAAGGCGGTTTGTGCTTCAGCATTAATCATGACGTTTCATGTGCTGACATCATGCTGAGTATCGGAGTGCAGACTTCTTTTTTTAGAGCGCAGCTCTTAGGCGCCCGTTTCCGGCTTGAGCGGCGTCGGAGTGGGCGTAACCGTGAGGCCACGTGACCCCCCCCCCAGGTCACATGAGCCCCTGAGGTCACGTGACCTCCCCGAGGTCACGTGACGCGACCCCCCTTGAGGGGGAGGGGAGGAGGGAGAAGGAGGAGACGAGGGGAGGAGGTTGATGGATGAGACGAGGGGAGGAGGTTGAAGGATGAGGAGAGGGGGGAGGAGGAGTAACAGGCAGGATCACGAGGTGACAAATAGGAACGAAGGGTATATCCCCCCCTAGTACCCTTCCCTCCTCCTCCTCAAGAAATTTTTTGAATTCTACGATCAATTTCTTTCATTTGTGGCCGAAAATGGAAAACTTTTAATTGCAGGAGGGGATTTTAATATAGATATGGGTAATAATAATAGCCCGTCAGCCAGAGATTTTGACACACTTATGAAATGGTTTCGTTAATGTGATTAACGTACCAACAAGGGTCACAGCGGATTGTCTATCCGTCCTTGGTCTGTTCATTACAAACTGTGTGCAATCAAATTATGAAGTGGGAGCTATATCGTGTTGCATTAGTGACCATCTTCCTATGTTTCTTTACGTTGAAAAAAATGGGCCAGCAGTAAACAAATCATCCGAAATACTTTACCAATCAATTACAGAGACAGCACTTAATGCGTTCCGGAATGCAATCTTGCATACAAATTGGAGCTATATAAGCAATTTAAAAGAGCCAAACAACATTTATAGTACCTCTTTGAGCAGTTTCAAACATTTATATTGTACTCACTTCCCTGTAAAAGTGCGTAGGCTAACTGGAAAACTTCGTAAGCCGTGGATCACGCCAGAATTACGGAAGGAAATGAAAATACGAGATAACTTGTATAAGAAATTTTTGAATACTCGCACACCCGATGGCTGCACCATTTTCAAGCAGTACCGGAACAAAATAACAAAGATACTACGATGTGCGCGAACGGAATATCAGTCCTCATTTATAAACGATAAGAACTGTAGGCGTGACATGATGTGGTTTAGATTAAATACAGTCCTGCCTCCATCGCGGTTCCTCACATGCCCCTCTTTCAAAACTGCAAGTTAGTGGAAAAGAATTATCCGGAAGAGAATTAGCTGATGCATTTAATGATTTCTTTACAAGTATGGCTCTCGGCGATGACTCGCCTGGCACATGTCGTGAATTCGTAAATGTACAAAATGACAGATCTATGTTTTTGAATCCTGTTACTGAGGAAGAGGTGATAACAGTAATCAAAAATATAAAAAACAGCAATAGCTGCGATATCGACGGCTTACAAATAAAGCCCGCGAAGCACGTAGTTCACATCCTTGCACCGATTTTTGCTGAGATGTTTAATCAATATATAGTGGCTGCTGCTGTTCCAGAAAAGATGCAAGTTGCAAGAGTAACTGTTCTTTATAAAAAGGGGAGAGAAATAATATGGCTAATTATAGGCCAGTCTCTATTCTGCCTGTGGTTTCAATAGTATTTGAAAAATATTTACATTCAAGTCTTTCAAACTTTATTGATACATATAACTTGTTAACCCCATACCAATTTGGCTTCCGTAAAAACAAATCTACTGAAATAGCATTACTTGAACAAAAAGAATACAAACTTACACAGTTTGAAAGGAAAGCTATTGTTGTTGGTATATTTGCGGATTATTCGAAAGCTTTCGATTTGGTAAATCATAATACATTGTTAAAAAAGCTTGCATGCTATGGTATTCGTGGACAGGTGTTGTGGCTTTTGAAGTCGTACTTATCTCATCGAAAGCAGGTCGTTCAAATAAATAGTATGTGCTCCAAAGTTCAACCCGTCCTTTGTGGCGTGCCTCAGGGTAGTACACTAGGGCCGCTACTCTTTAACATTTATCTTAATGACATTGTGAACATGAACTCTATTGCCAAATTTATTATATACGCGGAAGACACAAGTATTTTCGTTTCTGGTAATGACATCCACAAACTTGTAGACAAATGTAATTTTATTATGAAAGCAATATAAAAGTGGTCAGTTTCTAATTTCATGCTGATAAATAAAGTAAAAACTAAAGCAGTCGTATTCAGACAGAAAAACAAGCGAGTTCCAGTACATAAAGATATCATCCTAAATTCACGTTCTATAGAAATTGTTGAAACATTTTAAGCGCCTTGGTGTCGTATTTTCTTCCACTATGTCGTGGGATAGCCACATAAACCATATAGTAACTATGATAGCTCAGATCACAGGCGCTATAGGTCGTCTTTCCACAAAAATTAAGTTACTCCTTTATAATTCGCTCTTTTACTCTCATCTAAACTATTGTCAATTGGTATGGGGAACAACAATTTCAAACCTTCAACTTGTTAATATATTACAAAAAAAAGTCTTCGGCATATTTACAATGAGCCTTATGGAGCGCCAAGTACTAACTTGTTCTACCGCTCCCATGTGATTAGTGCATTCAACTTGTATAGATATGATTAAGCTTGAGGTATAAATTAGAAATACGAAACAATATTACTAACTTACGTGGTCTGGCTCATCTTCAAATAAAGAACATAACTAGTTACTCAACAAGACATAGAGAAAATTGGGTAGTGCGTACACCTCGTTTGAACCATGGAAAAGATTGCCCCTAAGTTTCATACTACCGTCTTTATTAAATAGATATCATCTTCTGCATTTTGATTTATTTACCTGTAAATACAGTAAACTCCGTAGAATGTATGAAACCGAGAGAGTATAATTTTTACGATTTTTTTTTGTTTAATTGTGTGCACCCTGAACATTTATGATCACAATGATTTTTTTTTTTGGCGAGTGTGTTGTTGCAATGTATAGTTAAGATTACTTTTCTTCCCGCCTTTTTTTCTCTTTTGTGAATACTTTAGCACGATGCTGCGTAGCTGCGAATATTAAGGGTCTGTGGACTCGTCAAGCTGCAATGCTGTAGCTTTTTTCCACAGCTCCTTCATCTTCTTTGTACAAGATAAAGAATAAACTGATTTGATTTGATTTCATTTCATTTGAAGAGCTGCGCTCGAATTTGGTGTTACAGGGAGTTGTAAACGGCTTTCATTTTTTAGGTACAGATGTATTTTCGGCCCCGTCTTTCGCCTGATCCTTGCGTACATTGGAGCGAGTGGCCCTCCTCTTCCTAAAGTCCCTAAATACTTTCCTTTACACGACAACCGACACGCACGACGAAGCTCTTTCTGCTGGATCAAGCTAGAGACTTTCAGTTTATTGCGCTATTATTGGCCGCCATTCGCTTCATCAAACTTGTACCGTCATAAAGTCGGCGCTTCAAACAATGCCGTTACTTGTAAGAAACACGAAGTACACTCCTTATCAAGAAACTTTAAGTCTCCCAAGTTGGTTTGCGGAAAGATTATACCCACTGGATTTTTGTTTTTTACATATTGCAGTTTATTCGATGATAATGGTGAGTCCATCGCTCCCTCTTTTATCCAGGGAGTATACCCTCTGGTGTCCACCCGTTTGGCCGATAGAATCGCATGGTTTACCGAAGCGTATGGTAGCGAAAGCTCTTTTCATTGGCTTTGCTGACCGGAGGAGGGCCGATGGTTGGTGTTTTGTGTGTATCAGTGGGCAGTACGCGTTGAAACGTTCCTGCGAGTGCTGTAGTTTCATTGACAGTTTAAGAAATGAAGGGCGTTGACTTTTATGATTACGCTTCGAGTTTTGTGATTGGTTCCCCGGTGGTCTTATTGGCTAATGCGGCAGTCTGATTAGCTGCGTAGTGATATGAGATGCTCGGGATTTGCTGCGCCCCGAGTTTCGTAAGCACTCAGTGACTGTAGTATTACGACTGTGCGCCTTTAGGGAACGATATTCCCATGGTTTTATCGATGTGCTTGGAATTATTGACGTAGTTGCAGATGTAAGCCAACATGTTTCTTTGGAGTCTCATTATCGAAGAATTGCCAACACTGTTTTTGAGGATAAATCGATTTTCCGCTTTCAGGTTCGACAATGTCTCTGAATCGAAGACTGAGTGACCAGACGCTTTATCTGCTCTCCGGAGGTGATGCTGGTGAGGCAGGCGTGATCACGGAGGAATCACTAGCTATTGACACGGCTCCTTACTCCATCACTACGCCGGTGGTGATTACCAAGTGAGAATCGACTCTTCCAGCAGCCTGGCTTTCTATAAGTTACGCTGCGATGAACCGAAGGCTTTGCTCACATCGTTGTGCTTTTATCGGGACCTTAAGGGCAAAACACCCTACAATGTCGCAAAACACGGTGAACAGCAAAGGAGGAAAATAAAATACCGAGGTAATAAATATTGAAATGAAGTGTTAATGGGACGGTGACACAACTCCAACGTTTTTCTTTAAGAATTAAAGGTCAATAAACCATTTTCAAAAGTACGCGCCATTGCCTGTCCGTCATTGTTTGGGCACATGCTCGGAGTATGTATTGGACACGAGGTCTGCGTCAACGTTCGGTGCGAGCTCGGCTTAGCCCGTATCGAGAACGAGTGTGACGTCAGCGCTCGGCGATAGCTCGGATCCAGTCACGCGCTTCGTGCTCAAGAAATGGCGACTGCCAATGTTGCTTGATGAATTTTTGAAAAGGGTCTATTCCCTACATACCTTAGAACATGCAGAATACTGGAATTGGTATATAGGTTAAATTTGGCTCTTATTTCTGGCATGTCATTGACAGAAATTCGAGCCGCAAAGTGCGAGTGACATAAGAGAGCTGTAGTCGTTAAGTAGTTTGTCATTGATTTTAGCGTTGTCTCAAGAATGCAGGAACCGAGAGTTGTAAATCTTTGCCTGATTGTATTTTGACCTATTTGAAAGATACCGCAGACCATTTGCGATTTTCAATTCTCATTCATAATGGCAAGCTTAACTTGCAAATGCTAAAGTTTTTTTTTTTTTTTTTTTTTATGTATCAGGCCGAAGCTACGCCAGGACATCACAGCAACTTCAGCGCTCAAGGCTCAAGATTTTCAGGCAAGTTAGAATCAATTCTTTGTTTTTTTATGCTAATAAATTTGATACAACAACATCTCGTCTACTTTGCATGTTTTGGCTCAATCTTGAATGTCCAGTTTTTCCAACTACAAGCTGGGCTTTTCCAGCTACAAGAAATAGAGCAATCGGGGCTAGTATATAAAGGTAGAATGTTTTATAATGGATACCAGAAAGTGAATGACAAAAACATTCCGCTGACTTGAAAAATCCGCGGTTAGAATAAAATAAATTTGACAGTGATATAAAAAAAATGGACGCGAAAAAACAAAAATTAAAAACGTACAAAAGAAAAAAGTTTGAAAGTTTTCTGAGTAAATGACCTCGAACTAGCTCGCCTGCGCAATAACCCTTATTTCAAGATGTCAATGGCTTTGTTCGAATAATTTCTGCAATGAATAGTTGCACCAATCTAATGTTTCCTGCCGAAAATAAAGTGAGAACAAACCTAAAGTTTGCAAAAACGTTTTGTGAATTTGGGGGCTTCGGAGAATCGCAGAAGAATTCATGAAGTCTGCAAAAGTGCTAAAAGTTTTCGAGTGTATTTTTAGACTTCGCGTGCGTGAAGAACCATTAGCGCTGACACATGGGTATACTGCGTGTGCGGTTGATTAGCTGCAGATAGTATAAAGGGGCGGTTTTAATTATTCGGCAGGTTTGTGTCACAATTATCGAAGGACGTCATTTGGCTGGCCTGAATATGGATCCTGTGATTTGCGTCCAAGTGGGCGATCAACGAAAGTACACATCTGTCAAAGAATCAACGAATTGTCCTTACTACAACGAGGTTGGTACCCTAACTGATTTCTCATAGATGTAAATTATTGGTGATAGATGCATAAATTCTGATCATTACATTTATTCGTGCGAAAAGATAAGGTTATATTCTTTTTCAAAGCCCATTAAAATGATTCAAAGGAAGCGACTTGTATTGAAATCATAGTAGCCCGGTCTAAATGCATTCAAAAAGTGTTTTGTTTAGCGAAACAAAGCTAAGTGGAATGGCAAAGCATACTTAAACAGACTAGTGATCATAAACATAGGATGTTGTATTAAGTTCAGAGATTTCGCTATTGCTGTTTTCTTATTATTTTACCTTTGATTACACTCTTGCAGCTGCTGTTTTCCTTTGAAATTATTTAAATGTTCAACCCTTGACAGCATAACATCTCAATGAAAAAGACTTGACGATAGTAGCATCGTTTCTTTTATAAAACATGCTGGGGGACACATTAAGAAGCGTTCTCCGCCCATCTAACATTTTACAAATGAATACATGATGGCCGATACCTGATCTGTACAAGTCACTGAAAATTTTAGCGAATAAAAATTTTATCTAATCATTGTTATACAGTGACCTTGACGAAATAATCAAGCCTGAATTTTACAGCCGATATGAATGAATCGTAATGCATTTTTGTTTGTTTCTCTTTCAGTACTTCGTGTTCGATTTTCATATGGCGCCATCGATGTTGTTCGACAAGATTGTTACACTTACTGTGAGTACAGCTGGTCACGTACGCAACATTATTATATCGAAATATATATGATTTTTTTTTGTTATGCTGTAAGCGGGATTCAGGCGTACGGCTTCAAAGGAAATACCTCTAAGACAGTGAGAGGGTTTATTTGTTCGTAGGCCTTCTATAGAACACTATAACTATTAAAATTTAAAAAAAATCTGAAATAAGTTTTAAGTGAAGGAGTTATCTTTCATTTTTATCATATTAATGATTGTCAGCTGATACAGTTTGTATTGCACCTGTGTTAAATATTTTTATAAGGCTAAAAGGAGTCACGTGCAATAGAACCAAGTAAAAAAAATTGGTCATAGTTTATTCTCTAAAGAAGAATTTTATACTTTTTTAGGCGCTGCACAATCGAAATTTCATACGTTCCGGAAAGGTGATTGGAACCTTCAAGCTTGACGTGGGAACTGTGTTCAACCAAGCTGGTACGTTCACATTTGTTAGGCACAAAACACCGAACAATTGAGGGTGCGATTCTCTTGCACTTTTCGGTATAACGAGTGTTTTGATCAGAAGCTTCCTGTAATGACCACACCACTTGGTGTATATTCATAATTCTGGTCGTTCTTCGTAACCTGCTAATCGCAGTACACATGCACCACATCTGCACTCCTTTTTTATTAATTCTTTCCTACGCTGAAAGGCTTGCCTACGGTTCCCAAAAGTGGTTCTAGAAGAAAGGTTTATTCTAGATTTGGTGTGCTTTGTATTTAGGTTAAAATGTATGCAAATGAAAATATTGTACTCTGCAGAACACCAGTTTTACCACAAGTGGGCGGTCCTGACTGATCCTGACGACATGACAGCGGGACCTAAGGGCTACATCAAGTGTGACATCTCGGTTGTGGGCAAAGGCGACACGATCAAGGTACATTCGAGAGCTCAGTTTATACTAGACCCTCGAATGCTGGGCCCGATTCAGCATGTTTGTATTGTGATGAAAATCAATAATCGCTCACGTGAGGCTTTTTGTTTTGCAGCAAGCTCCCAAGAAGGATTTTGATGACGACGACATCGAAGGGTGAGTTTTGACTTTGAAATTGTATAGTTTTCTTTGTTAAACACTGTTTATATATATAAAAAAATACACAGACGAATAGAAGCTTAACGTCAGCCTTTTAATTATCACGTTATACTATATGAAGGTTAAAGGGTAACCCCCCTCAAATCTGAAAATTTCGAGGTAATGAGGGATTTCACATTAAAACGCACTAATAAAAGACAAAACGTAATTTGCTTCGCGAAACACAGGATATAAATATAGTTAAGTCTTGGTTTAAACATCAGCCGAAATTGAAACCGAAACTTCGGCTTCGTCTGGCGACATTCGCCTCGGGCCGCCAAAAACATGACTATCACGTGGTACGAGATGTCACGTGATCCTCTACTCAAACGACGGGCGGGATGGGTTGTGTGCCAGGCTCCAGTGTCGTCTGCACCGCACTCCAACACTTTTTGGTGTCTACGTCATTCGACGACGTCTGCACAACTGCGGCATCAGTCTGCGCACGTATTGTGAACGAGAGTTCGAGACACAATAATCACAAACGGTAAGATGGCGACGACGGTTGTGAAGCGGGTGACGGCGGTAACGGCGGGGCGGCCGGACAGCTCCCAAGAAGCGCGCTGCACAGGCACGTTACCCCAATCACGTGGACACCGCTCAGCGCCGAGAGGACACTTTGCTGACGTCATCCGTTACGCTTGCCCGGAGAAGTAAAAACAAACAAAAAGGGGCAATGGTGATTACGTCTAGCTCAACGGTGACTACGCCAACGCCGTAGCCTTGACTGTCCTGATGGTTGCGCCTCAATTTGCCCGATGGAGTCAATCGATCTCAGTGACTTGGCGCGTTGCGTAGTTTGCTGGACCGTTTAAGAAACATTTAGATGGAACTAGGTCGTAATATTTGACGTGTGGTCTTCCTAGGGGATACCCAAGAGGACTGCACTGTTTTATTCAGAAACGAAAATGAAGCGGAGTTGCCATTTAAGTCTCTCGTTTTCAACTTTTCTAAAATAAAAAGTGCGATGCAATATAAAAAAGAAAAAATAAGACAAAACATACAAGGAAAAAAATAAATAAAAGAATTGGAAGAAAGAAACTGATTTTTGCTGTCGTAAAGTTCGTATTAAAAAAATTATGTTTGAGTTCCGCCAAAGTAAATACCTAAAGCAATAAGCCACTCAAAAACGCGTAAAAAAAACTGAGCGGTGCTCGAATAAAATTATACTTCGAAGTACAAATACGCAATTCTCAGAAGCTGGTGACCAGGTGCACTCACAAATCGAGTCCTTGTCCATCAACTCAAAATTTTGTTTGAGAAGCCATACTCCTGTGCCACGTGCAATAAAAAATAAAAAAAAAAAAAAATTAATCTTTATTTTGAGTGAGAGGTACTGCAAATGTTTCGGAACCGCTTTAATTAATGCGGGCTTGACTGGCTGTCTGGCCACGCCGCAAACGCCGCGAGCTGTGAGCCCTTCACATCGTATGGCGAAATTGAAGTGTTCGGTTTAGCGGAGAGTTCGGTACCGACGTGTGGGTGCTCTATTAGCTAAGCTCAAGGCCAGCTCACTCCAACGAAGACAGCTGCTGTGGTTAGTCGTGTTCAATATAGGATTCGTTCAACTTACCAAGAGTGAAAGTGAGAAAAAAAAAAGGAATTCAAGCTGGTTATCAAACTAGCTCTATAAGCAAAAACACGAGACTGGGAACAAATATGCCGGCAAGCTGGTGAACAAACTTCCGAATAAAAACCCAAAAATGGGGAAAAAAGGAAATCTACAAGCACCTTTTTAAGACACTACTGATTGTATGCATGTGAAGATGTGAGATAAAAAAAATCTCCCCATTTCCTCCCGTCCTCCCGTCCTTGTCGTTTGCGCGCTGTTTCCATTATTTCTAAGCATGAACCAACTCGCCCACATCGCTACTCTAAAAAAAATCAACAGCTGTGTTTTGAAACAGTCTGTGTGCTTGTCCGTTTTTTTAAAATTTGTTACCAGTCTCGAATTTTTCAACATAAAGTGGACAAAGGTTCAATATTCAATATGTAGTTACCAAAGGTTCAATATTCAATATTACCATCAACAAACTCGCCCAACTTCACACCTTGTTACCAAAGGTATTTGATCTGCATCGCTACTAAACAAAAAAGTGTAGCCGTAGCTTTTTTTTTTTTTTTTTTTTTACAGGTTAGGAATTTGAGTTTTAAATACTTTAGGGGTTGGAAACATACTTTTGTGGAAGTAACACTGTAGGCGAGATATTTGGGAAGTCTGTCAGCTCTTTCAGTTATACGTCAAAAGAAGAAAAAATACAACAAAACAAAACAAAACAAAAAAAAGCAAGAGAATAAATGCTGGCGAAATTTATACAAAAAATATAAATATAAATTGCACAAATAGACAGTAATCATACATTTCTTGGTTTCGTCTCTTTGTTTTACGGCTGAATGGCTGTGTCATTAATAATTGTAGCCTAGCGGAATGTGTTTATCTGGGGCGTTCACCTAGGCGGTAAAAAGGTTGTTTGACAATAATGAGTACGAGTAACTTAAAAAAAAAAAAAAATGACTCCAAGACTGTCTTCACGCTAGGTTGCGCAGTGTACGGGTTATAAGATAACACATAACAACACGTGCCTAACGGTTCAGTAAAACTCGTTTTAACTGCGTTAATTTATTCGTCGGCGCGTTGGCTTATAGGTGCTGGCGACCTCTTACCAAGATTGTTAAAAAACAACATACCTAAAAGGTAACGAACAAGCAAACAGAAAAACCAGTCACGAAACAAACAGACATTTTTCTAACGAGAAGGCTGTGGCTATGGCTGTGGTCAAAGACAGCTCTCTTATTATTGCTTTGTAGTTAAGCAGAGTGAGACGTTAGTCAATACAAATGGCGAAGAATCAATCAGGAAGCAAAAAGCGCGAGCATAGCAAGTCACTCATTTCGTTTTTAACCTCTTAGTGACCATAAAATGCCAAACACAGAAAACAAACAAAAAAGCAGACGATGTAGTTTGTTAAAAAAACAAGTTTCGTTTGTTTGTTTTTCAGTATTTTATGTCGTGTCGTTGTAACTTGAAACGAATCTGTCCACGCTCTTCAGCAGTGCTTTGGCAGCTTACAGCTAAAGGGAAGCTCCAGCAATTTTTCAAGAAATCAGCGTTGCGAATTCAGTAATCGCGTTTAAAGGCCGACGATTTAAAGGCCAGAAAGGAAAAAAAAAACAGTCCCTCAATTACTCCATTCAATTTGAGAAAGACAGAGACTCTCCTACCACTTGCGGGAAGTGGCTCAATGACCCTCTCCTTGCGGGAGTGGAGACAATAAGAGTGAGAGGGAAGGGTGAGAAGGAAACTGTCAGCCGTTTTCCGCCCGGCAGAAGAAGATTTTGTAGGACGGCCTTTCACTTGACCAGATGAAAAGGTAAACCGCATTTATTTCGAAGGATACGGGCAGCGATTGCAGCAGGGCATGCGGCGAGCCTCTCTGCCTCCTGTCATCTGTCCAAAGCATCGTGACCTCGTCGTCGGCATAGCAGAGTCAGCGTACAGTGGAGAGCAAGGGTCATGTGACCATTTGGACGACGTTATTTTGCTATATTTTCTCTTCGCTCTCGGGCTGTTAGGGTACATAAAATGCCAAAGACGGAGTGCTAGTTTTAGAAGTAAAAAAACTGGAAAGTTCAATGTTTTTTTTTGTTTTTTTTTTTAAACTTTGCGTCGGTGAAGGTGAGCTCGTTCCCATACTCTACCCGTAATACAGAGAAATGGTGTACGTATGTTCACTCGGAGAACAAAGTTTGACTTTCAAATAATAAATTTCACACTACCGCACACGCTTCTAAAATAATCTCTGCATTAGATCTAAACGGTGCGACATTTAAAGACTTAAGGTTGCATTTTTGTACACGATTTTTGCAAAGTTTGCGATTTTGTGATCAGGTTTTTGAGTTTTTTTTTAGGCGTAAGAATCTCGGTTTTCTCTTTACCCTAGTTTGTTCCGGTGTGTATGTTGTTTTTCCGGTGTATTTTTGGTCCACTTGCTGTTGAACCGTTGAGGGGTCCGAGGGCCTGTCAAGCTGTACATACATTGCAGTTTTTTTCTTGGGTCCCCCATTAAAATCTATTAAAATAAGTTTATTAATATTAACATTACAAATAGAGCAGACGATACAATCGGTTCAAAAGTAGTATCGTCTGTTTCTTTTGTATCTTTTGTTTTGTTCTTTCTTCGTTAAATTTGAAAACTAACGTATGGCCGCTCTTTTGCACAACTAAAAAAAAGAAAACTATTGTAATCCCTATTTCCCCTTATTTCCCGGCAACCAATCAGGAACCTCCTCCTTCCGGACGGCGTTCCCGCCGAGCGTCAGCATGCCCGGTTCATCGTGCGGATTTACCGGGCCGACGGATTACCCCGTTTCAATTCGGGATTAGTGGCCAACGTGAAGAGGGCGTTCTCGGGGGAAACGAGGGAGCTCATCGATCCCTACGTCCAGGTGTCCTTCGCAGGCATGACCGTGAGTCGGCTTTTCGCCAGATCGCCCCTCCCTCGCTTCGGTCTTTACCGATATTGTGTGTAACTGTGTAATCCGACGCGCGGTCCCCTTTTGGGGAGTTTGGGGCTCAATCCCCACCGTCTAGATGAGGCTCTACAAGTAGGGCAGTGGAGTGGTGGAGTGCAGAATTTATGAGTTTTGCTGGATTATGGCGTTCTAAAGCTGGTGCCAGATTATACAACGCCAGTAGTGGAGCGTTTCAGTAGGTCCTTTTTGCGCTCCGGTAACGTGAATTACAGTTTATCGTTATAAAAAAAAAAAAGGAAGTAATACAATTTTTTGTTGTTGCGAAATTTTTGGGTAACAGTTCTTGTTTCTTTTTGAGGAATGGGGAGGAAAGCCGAAGGGGCAGACATAAAAACACAGTTGGGTAAAGATATCTAGTATATCGTTATTTGAATAATGATTTCTTTTAATTGCCTGATAACGCAAGAGAAAATATTAAGAATACAGTTTTATTAAATCTGAGCAAGACCGGTTTCGCGCACGTAGCGCCCACCTAGCGCCCACCTAGTGATGATGTGTCAAACTTAAAAGAAGACTAATAAAAGAAAAGAGTAAAAAAGTGTTACTATGCGTTGAAACTACTGCTGAAAACCAGTCGTTCTAGATGAATATTGTAGAAGTGCATGATAGTCAAATGTTATCTCGAGTCAGAAGTTTTGAGACAATCCCTAACCTCCCGATAATCCCAATGTCACAAAATATTATTCCTGAGAAGTATGGCACACCTGAAACATACGTTAGTGCAGCGCATGCGAATTGGCTTCTGCGCACTAACGGTCATTGTTATCGGGGTGCAGAAACGACCAACTGAAGATTCCTATCAATTCCTTACTTGAAAAGTATGTAGCTGAATTTCTGCAGCTATACACACCACTCAGTTAGAGTTTACTTCTCCCAAACTGAAGTACGCTGTACAAAACCAGAAAACAGCTCATACGCTTTTGCACGGTGTTGAAGCTATCAGCTTCTGATTACTACATCTTTGGGACTTGAATTGACTGCACACAGAAGCTATTTTTGGATCGATATGTGATTAGAATGGATACATTCGTAAAAGTTTGGCCGCTTACTTAGATTATATTATTTTGATGTTTTCTTGATGTATTGTTTTTGTTTTGTGCTCGCCGCCCTGTTTTTCCATCTGGTACAAAGCATTGTTCTCGTGAAACTTATTCTAAAAAAGGGTACTTTGCTAAAGTTGGGTCCCTTTATAACATACTTATGGCATTGTGAAAAAAAAAATAAAAACAACTTAGCGGAAGCGTGACTAAGGCAGTCCACGGTGCGCTATAAGAATCTCAACACTATAATTGTGTATTTGTTTAGCTGTAAGTTTGTTAGTCCCAATGGGAGTCTAGTGCTTCCCTGCGGATTTGAAATCTAACCAGGGTGGTAGTACCGCTAGCCTGGGGTTTTAACGTGCATCTCGCAGTACTGAAACAGTTATAACATATTTCCGTGCTTTGGGATACACGACTTGACAAATACTGTTCTTTTTTTTTTCTTTTTAAAAACGCGATTTCATACGCTAATATTTCCAACGTATCTCGCAGGGACGGACGACCGTGAAGAAAACCTGCTGCTCTCCGGTCTGGAACGAGCAGCTCGTCTTCACCGAGATGTTCCCGCCCCTGTGCCAGCGCATCAAGATCCAGCTTCGCGACAACGACGCGGTCAACGACACCGTGGTCGGCACCCACTTTATCGAGATGTCGAAGATAGCCAACGAAGGCGACAAAGGTGATGGCAATGACCCGTATATTAAACTCTTGAAAGGAACAAAACGATTAGTCACTGAGAGAATATGGTCTTTGAGCTGCACTGCCTCCAGCCTTCGATAACTCCAGGGGCGTCTCTTGAGCTCGGATTGTGCCCGTGCAGCAAAAAGCACGATGGTAGGGTTAGAGCGCGTGCTGGACGCAAGGCATTTCGAAAAGACGCCTTGCTATTCTTGCCCTGTCAGTAACTCCATATTCTGCCACTGAATTAAAATGCATAATAGTTCTGGCGTCACAACAAAGCGCAGACAAGCTCCGCTTCTATAACCGCACACAGTTGCTTTGAACGGCATTATGCTACAATTCATGGAGTTGCTAACTCGATGGCGTTTAGCAACCACCACTAAGCAGTATTGTTTGTGGTAAAAAATCCATTGGTGCACATTCTACCCCTTCTGTGCGGGCGGAGATTTGCTTTTGGTTTCAGACCGGAGTCTCTATACTGCAGATCGTATGTTGCGACAGACTATAGATGGTATCTGTATGTCGGTCTGTACAGTACTCTAGTCACAGCCAACTTAAGAGATACAGGGCGTGGTGAGTCTTGAGCATTTGTTATTATCACTCTACGGACGATAAGATTGTTTCATCTGCTGATAAAGTGAACAACGATGAACCAATCGCGAAGCAAGAAGCGTGAAGACAATGAGGAACCACCTGCGTGCGTTTCTTAAATTTCCGGCCAGTTTGGAGTAACAAGAATTCCTGAACTTGACGTCCTTTCCCAACGTTGTTGCAGGATTTCTGCCCACCTTTGGACCCTCTTTCGTGTACCTGTACGGCTCGACGCGTGAGAACTCGCTCTTTGAGGAGCACGCCCCTCTGAACGACGGCCTCGGAGAAGGAGTGATGTACCGCGGTCGTCTTCTCATCGCCGTGAGGACGGAAATATTTGACGTCCTGGACACGACCCAGTCCAGCGTCGAACTTGAAGCCACTCTGCCCGCCAATGAGGTACGTTCTCACCCTATCAGTGTTTCAATGCGATGAATCGTCAAATATGGTGCCTTACCCGAAAATATCCCTGAGATGTGATTAACCTGGTAATAGATGCTTTCTTTTTTGAGCTTTACAGTATCTAACAAAAGATCTGTCTCTGGAACTGACTTGGTTAAAGGGATGCTGAATCCAGATCTGGATTCCACAAAACACGCGGCAAAAGCGTGCAACGGGATGCTACAAACCCCAAAACATTACTCTTACAGCGATATCTCAAACGAATAACCGTACTTTAAAAAAAAAAAAAAAAGGAGGCGCATTTGGCTAAAATATTTACGTCATGTTTTTCCGAGAAGGAAAGGGAACGGCCTCGCGTCTTCTCCGGCTCGCCGCCTTGAGGGAGCGAAGCGAAGAGGGGAGGAAACGAGATATCTCTACGTCACGCGCCTCGTCGTCCTGGTTCAATCTCTACCTCTTTTTACAAAAATACGGCCGTCCACTCGAGATATCACCTTACGAGTAGTGCTGTAGGAATTGTAGCGTCCCGCCTACAGCTCCTGCATTGTTTTTTTAAAATCCAAATTTCGGTTCACGCCATCCCCTTAAACAACATATTAAAAATGCTAAAGTTATTATGCGCCATGCTTGAAAGAAAATAGCTATGTAAGCACAAACAAGTTATTCCCATGCGCCTTGCAAGTGTTTTTATTGCAAGTACGAAAATGTCTGGCGAAGAAGTGTTGGTATATGTCTATACTAATACTTTAAAGTTCGTGCTCTATGCACGTAAACCCGTGAGTAGCGATTACTTTCCGTTGAAATGGGGTTATCATCGATAAAGTCTTTGTTCGGGGTGTACAACTGGGTCATTTCCCGCTGTTTTGCGTTCGCAGTGCGCCGACAGCATCGAGCTTTCTAATTGCTGTTTCATACATCTTTCCATAAAAACGTTTGAGGGCGCGTTCATTGTTGTGTTTGTGTGTTATGCACGCACACTTTCTGGCTGGCCGCAATCGCGCGCGAGCTCTGGCTGGACTCTGACTTAGCACGTGTGGACTGTGATTTTTGTAAACAGTGGAAACGTCTATACTTAGCATACAACGCTGTCAAAGCAACTGGCGCGAGCATGGAGCTTGATCTTGTTGATCATTTGCACGCGTTCTCGCGCAAAACTATAGATGAAGCCACGCGCTTGTGCCAGTATATAGCTTTAACAGCGTTCTATATTAAGTATGAAACGGAGTCTGGTCCTGGTTCCGGCCGCGACGTTCGGTACATCCATTAATGAGAAAGGTTCAAGCGCGGTATCCGTTTCAACCTTGTCGATGTTGTTTGAACAAGTAGCAGAAACAAGAAATAAACAATTACTTACCACAAAGAAAGCTGACGAGATCTTTTCTTTTTGCTTTTGTTTTCTCCTTTAAAATGAATTTAGAATTATATTGCGCCGTATTGCTATATGTGACAAAACGCAGATGATTGTCTCCTGTCTGCAAACGTCGGTTAAACATGGAACAAGCGTCAGCATCAGAGGATTGCGCACAGCGGCAAAAAAAAAATATGACAGTAGACAAGATATTGCAGCTTATTCAAGAAGCAGGGGCAAGAAAGGAACAAATTCTGGGCAAATTTAGTCCTTCAGTCACTGCAGACACACACAAAATAGGAGTTCTTGTATGACATTTTTGATGTGCTCTTGAACTACAACATCAGTATCTTTTGACTTAAGATATCATACTAGATCGACAATAACCAATGAGAAAACCAAAAAAGCAAACAGTATGAGTACCTTGTTTTACCGATAGATGACCCTTAATACTGCCCAATCAAAAGTAATTAGCCATTTCATATCGAGCCGCTTATTAGAGTACCTATGTACTCTTGCATTTGTAGGGACGCTGGTTTACCCCAATAAGTTTACCATCGCTTCGAGAAAACCGTCCCAGGGCTTTGTAAAAAATACTCACATTTCTCATAAGGGATGACATAAAATAAGTGGAGGTTTGAGCTATGTGACAAGTTTCTTTTTGCCTTCGTTTCGGGTTTCAGTTCGTTGGTCTACAGAGATTTCGTGGTTCCTTCACGCTTTTTTTCTTCAACAACGATAACTTTTTGAGAAAACAGAGAGTTGCCTTTTGACTTGAGCAGGCGCTGCGTCCTGCCTAATGGCGAATTCCAGTGCACGTTTTGAAGCGCGCCGGGATCAGTTGACCAGATCCGGACTGGAGCACACGATCCGAACGGGATCGCGCCGCCTACGGATTCCTAGTGGAACATGACCAGTGCTCCGGTATCGGCGGATGCCTTCCCGTCATTCAACTGCCCGGGAATCCCCTTTCCGCGGCCGCAGCGGTCGTTTCGAAGACGTTTTCGCAATCGCAGCGCTAACACGTGTTCGACGCACTGGCAGCAGGAATGGCTCAGGAGCTTCTAGCAAAGATTGCCGGAATGCCCGTAGCGCGGCAAATACCTTCTCTTCTCCTTCCTGAAAAACGAACCGGCTGTCGAACCAAGGGGTATGCAAGCGGCCATTACGAATTCTTCTGATGTCGAGACAATCTAGGAGCCCAGCCCGCGGCGTGCTTCTTCTTCTTCTGAGGCGAGATGGGCGAGATGGGCGAGATCAGGCGAGATGCACCACGAGAAAGGAAGTCACGTGTGCGCGCCAAGGGCTGGCCCGGCTGGCTTCCGGTTGAATCCCCCGAAATTGTCGGAGCGACTTTTCTCGGATCCAGATCGAGATCTGGAGCTGGAGCTAATCCAAAACGACCAGTGAAACACGTCTGTCTCAACCCCGATCGCCCATAAAATAGGCTCGCTCCCGAAAAGTCGATCCCGGCGCCCTCCAAAACGACCAGCGGAATTCGCCATAAGGCATCATTTTCTATTTTAAGATATTGTTGAGAAGATTGTTTATCAACTTCCATGCACAAGTGTCAAACTCTTCGAAATCTGGCAGCGTATATAGTGTCAGGTCCCTGACAAATTTTCTTTCATTATGTAACCGCAAGAGCTGGGCGATGTGCTGGGGTGGCATAAGCTTGTTCAGAACAACTCCAGCATGCATTACCACACTGACGACCAGTTGTGTTGAGAGGTTCAGTCACCCTCAATTTAAAACAACTGTCAGATGATGAACCACTACATGCATCGTGAGGAAATGTCGTCTCCAAACGAAATGTTCTATTCGCACTTGAATGTTTCATAGTCACGGAGACGAAATATCCAGCTATGTAGATCAGAAAAAGAGTCTTGGACTACAACGCTGCTAATTCATAGTCGGTGATGTCAATTGAAAAAGCTATAGAACACAAAGCAAAATACAATGCGCAGGTGACTCGCACGCCAAAACCAACAAATTATTTCAAAAACACTTGTGGAAGTGGTAAATCGTTCTTAGAATAACTACTGGATGCCCCCTTGAAAATAGCGGAGCTGTTTACTACATACTATTGTTCTTCTAGGAAAATTGACGATTCGGAAGTGTTAAAGTGCAAGGATACAACAAAGATCAGCCAAACCAACATTCCTTCGAAGAGCTCGCAACTTGAACTTGTTTCTCCGGACTTGACTTAATCCCTCGAAGACGCCGTTGCTCGTCGGTTGGGAAGGAGAATATGTGAACCTTCGATTCTCCGGCATACTCTTCCCGACACCAGGGCACACAACGCATATAAAGTATTTACCTTCACGTTCGCACACACGAAAACACTAGAGATTCTGGTCGCCGACTGTCGCAGTAAGTACGCAGGCGTCTTGTCTCCACATTTCGAACGACTTTCTACGCTGCCTGATTGCTCACCCACCAATCTGGCTTCGCATCACTTGCGAGTCGCCTGCAGTCTGATAAAGTTGCATCGCCATGTCGCGTAATCTTCTTTTTTTATATTTTTGTTATTTAGTCGGTACGACCAATCACATAATTCTTCCATCTTTGAAGCTCAGACCGAACGCAACGGAGATAACAAAACATAAAAAAAAAGAAAACTTTAAAAATACTTTTTGGGGTTGTTCAGGAGTGCTTCGTGAGCATTCTGGTGATTGTTGAGTGACCCACGTGCAGGGTTGGGCAGAAATAATCCAAAATGTATTTGGAAATACAAATACTGGGATTCTTTAAAATAGTACCTAAAATACTGATACTGAAATATATCTGTAAAAGTGTATCGCGATACGTATCGGAAATACGTTTTAAATATAGACAAAAAGTATTTGGAAATACAAATACAGGAATACATTTTAGGGAAGGCAGAAATACAAATACAAAAATACTGATACTGCAATACATTTTTCCAATTTTCTTGAGACCAAATTAGATGAAGCTCGGAGTTGGAAGTGGAAGTTTTTGATCCTGAAATTACTTTCCCGTAGGCTTGGCACTTTGCCTTGAAGGTAGTGATTTTAGACGAGGAGGAGTCTTCATTGGGCTCAGAAAAACGTTCCACCCAGGACTGACCGTGGTCCCTTCCCTGACATCCTGTCTGTCTGACGAGGGATGCGAAAAGTCTTCGACCTCTAAATACTCTGTCATCCTAAATCCCATCAAAACGTCACCACGCCCTTGTCGAATAAGGACGCCCCTGTCAACATTTATCACATGACGTCACGGTGGAATGAACTGGTATTCTTTATCTGTAGGTTTGGCCTTGACCATAAAACGTTAACGCGCTGCTGTACGAAATGACAATATGTAATTTCGTTGTAGTTTACCTCGTTGAAGATCCTGCAGGATTTTCGAGAACGGTGGACCACCTGAAGCAACCTGGAACACAAGTCTTATCTTCTGTTACGGTTGAAAAAACGATACGGTGGCATCCCTGTTGTGAAGGTGCTTCCTGCTGACCCTCTGCCACCGACGCATGGATTGCAGTAATCAAGTTTTGCCTTGCATACTCCAAATAGAGACCTCCTGGATTGCGACCTGATATTGCCGGCAGAGGTGCGAGCTCTCCGAGAAACAGCGTGCTTGAGACGAGTCGCAGGTGTACGAAGTCTCGGTCGGCACAGCGAGGCCACGTCTGACCTCCTTCCTGGGTTTCGAATCACCACAGCAGCGGGCCACTTTGGCGTCGGCTGATGACGTACCCTTGAGCCGTGCAATATTACGGGCACAGCCGCAGACGTATTCAAATATCTGTTGAACTTCACTGCGCGAGCTATCTTACTATTTCAAGTCAAGCACCGCCAGGCTCGTGCTGCAACGGACTGTTACTCAGCTTTGCCGCATGGGTGTACTGTGTACGTTAAGGCAAGAGAGACGGTTAGCAGCGGGCTTTGGATGCCCGCAAACAATGACTCAAGAAACCCCTACCTAAGGACCTGCTGAACAAGACTCTCTGACTCCACTCCTGGCACGCCACCTAGTTCGAGTCCCCGATTGCGCAACAGTCCTCAGAAGAGAGAAGAGGGCGCATAGAAAAATAGTTTGGAGCATCGGAAGGAGCCTTGGTCAGCATTGTAACAATGCCCCAGCATGTCCTTGACCCTGGTGCCCTCAAAAAAAAAAAAAAAAAGAAAAGCGTTTGGATTTTTTCTTTTTTTTTTGTGGGGGGTGGGGGGGGGGGGGGGGAGTATTTTTCAAGAAATGTAACGAAATACATTTCACCCTGATTGTATCGCGATACAAAGGAACATTAAAAATGTATTTTGATACAGAAATACAGATACCGGTGAAAAAAATGTATCGCGATACAGAAATACAGATACGAAATGTATTCCTGAAATACTATCGCGATACATTTGTATCGCGATACTGCCCAACCCTGCCCACGTGCGACGTGGCTGCACGAGACACGCGCGGACGGCTCAAAGGGAACGCACGAGATAAATACTTTTTCTGCCTGGGAGCCTGGACTGGATGGTCGGTCATTTCACAGCTGTTGTGGGCACCCCAATCTAAGAAACTCGACAAGCATCGCCACAGACGCTCTGCGGTGAAAGCCCTCTGCTGCCTCTCCTCGCTCGGCCTAGGAGCTGTGACCAGATTTTAACGCAAGAAAACGAAGCGCGCATGTTTCAGTTTCTAAAGAAGGTGCTAAGGTGGGAGTACTCTTTGAGTGGCATACGATAAAGTAATTGATGTTGAACCTATGGAACGTAACAGTGTAGATATTTTGAAAAATGTTTGAATATTACTAGTCCTATACATGGCACGAAGATAAATTGAGCTTTCTAGTTCCACTAGCAAATTTTGGAATTTCGCTTTTTATACTGTAACTTTTTATTTGGATAGTACACCGCACGTCAGCTGGCCGGTGACTAACGCGATGAATAGATGGAGTTAACCTGTGAAGTACAGTTTCTTGGGAATCCTATTAATATCTGGTTCTACATGTATCACGCAGATTCACCTCCATGCTGGTCCTTTTTGTTTGACGCTGAGCTTGAGCAGAAGTCTGTCCTGTATTTTTACTTAGTGCTGATAATACTTAATAGACTGGTTGCTTGATAACAGCAAAGACAAATTGAAAAAAAAAGAAGTGAACTTTAAGATATATTATGCGCTAATCGGGTGTTTTAGTAAATAATCAGGTTGGAAATTATTGTGTTAGAAAACACCTGAAACTGTGTAAACATTCCTCTACCAAATTAACATAGCATATGAATTGTCATTTTGTCATAAATATTACAAATGACTAGTCTATTATGATCCATAAGAGACTTGCGGTAGGTTGGTACAAACGCGCTAGGTTTTTTTTAATGGTTTGTAGGACTTGCGGTAGGTTGGTACAAACGCGAAAGGTTTTTCTTTAAGGCGTTTGTAGGACGAGTGCCTTTAATTCCCATTAAATCCTTATTTGAAGAAAGCATTGTTTACGCGTGCTTTTATGGCGTATAGAAATCTCTCGGGTTATTTGTCAGTGAGCACCAATTTCATGAATGACACTCGTTTGATATAATGACAGTTTCGCAAGTGTCTCAGTTTATAGGGAGTGTAAAGGAACTTCGTTGTGGTTAGCAGAACATGCTCAAAACTAGCTTCGAATAACATTTTGCGAATACGAAATTTATTGATTGGGAGGAATGCACACTTACGCACGTTTAACGTGCATTCAACAATATCAATTTTTTTTCTTCTTTTTGCGGACTATACATCAGGGCTAGTATGGTGCCAAGTGGATGCACTCTCCTTTAAATAACGAGTTTATTTTTTTTTTTGTAAAAAGGTAACACGTTGAAGCTTCAGAGTTATGATGAGATACGTTGCATTATAATTTTTTACCTGTTATATTGTTTACTATTTTATTATGGGTTATAAAATACACTTGCGTTGTTACTTAGTGAGATTATAATGGCGGCATGCAAACCCGTACGTACTTGTTAAACACTTACGGTTATGATTGACAGCTTTATTTGTAGAGAGGGTAACGTTTTGTAGTTTTTTTGAAAAATTAGCCCGACCTTTATTTGTTAAAATTTATTAAGGGAGTGTAATTAATAACTTTCTGTTTTTCACGCAGGTCTCGTACGCCAAGAACGAAGAGTTTCTTCTTTTCGGAGCCATCCTGGAAGCGTCCATGATCGACCGAAAAGTTGGAGAGAAACCTATTTATTTTGAACTGAGCATAGGTATGAGTAATTTTTGATTCTCCTCTCTTTGGGGTGGATTTTGTCTAACTGAGAAATAACGATACGGATTTGGAGAAAAATCACTCACAATGAGGCGTTACCGAAGTGCTGATTCTACGTGTGCCATTTTGCAGAGTGGAAAGGTTGTTTGCGCTTGCTGAATATAACGCACATTGTTCGAGTAATATGAAATATATGGCCTAATTCAATAGCGATTTATATTAACTATTTCGTAATGCACGTTTAAATTTCAGAATATTAGTCGTACGGCACTGACTAAATTCTAAGTTTGCAGGATAGTCATTAAACGCTTTTTGAAGCCAGACTGAGTTGTTAAAATCTTCTCACAAACAGTAAAATTGTTTAATAACAATTACTCGTGTTAATACGAATTGCAAAAATAACTTATTTGTTTAGTGTTACATGCAGTGGTCCAGTGTCAAATGCAATAAACGCGCTAAAACTGAAGAAGTGTAACAAGTTGTTTCGCGCTATCACTAACTATTTTCGGAATACTTAACTTGGTGTTACAGAATTCCGTGATGAGGTAATGGAGTTCTTTTGTCTTCAACATGTGAAAAGCGCTTTGATTTTGAGAGAAGGTTGAGTAAAAATGAACACATTGGTACTGAATAAAAAAAAATCGGTGAGATCTTAGTGACTGTATTATGATAGGCATTTATGACCTTCTCCGGCTGTGAAAAGCGAAGGAGCGGTTTAGTCTACTGATGCAGCTACTAAAAAACAACAGCCGCGATAACGACCGTACCCCTGCTTTTTCCGGAAAGCACTCTCGTAGTCAAACATTACTGTGGACTTGGGAATTTGAACGTAGAGGGCGCGTAATGGGACCCAAAAAGGCACACTAATCCCAACGCACGCTTTGGTGATGAGGCCTTCCGAATGGTTCACTGCTATTTCAACATGCCAATGAAGAAAAGTGCAAATATGAATATTAAAAAAAGTTTAAAGAAAAAAACTAAATTTTTATAGCTGCACTCAAAAACAATCATCAAATTGGTTAGGGATTAAAAAATCAGAAGGTATGCACTTTTTCAGTGCTTATTATCCCGGCAAAAAATGAACAGCCATTGGGCCGTGGACGCAGGCGCGGCGTTTGGTCTTCAGCGAAAAAGAGCTACAACACATGCTCAGAGTATGTTCCACCGCCGAGTAAACAAAGATGGCAGCTCACAGAAGGCGGTTATTGGAATGGTCTATATACCCTATGGCCATGTAACTCTAAAGTTTGGGCTGCGCCTCTTGCGAGTAAGCTCGAAAATATTTAGGTCACGTTTTGTTTATGCGTCAATATTTGACGTTGCTCACGGGCGCTATAAGCTCGATGATCAGGGATCTGGGAATATAAATTCGTTAAAGAAAACAACAACAAAAAAAGAAAGGTACAAGAAAATAATTGTTATATCGCTTTGATAAGACATTAAACACGCAAACCGCTTTTTTCTTTTGCTCATTCACACGTTTTGTCAGACGCTCAGTTACGGTGCGTAGACAGATACACACGTTTGAAAACGACTGTGGCTCGAACCTATTTGAACGCTGCAGTGCCGCTTTATGCTCAATGTAAGCATTAAATGATTTTGTCTCAAGGGCGCCCTCGCGCTCTCTGGTTGAGAAAAAAGCCTATTGTTTAACGAGGCGTAAGTGCGTAGCCGGCGCATAGCGCCAGTCAAACCCCGGTTCGGCACGCCTGACACTTCACTTGCACGCGGATAGATGGCGCCAAAAAGAGGGGGCCTATTATCGGTAAACCGGTGCTGGACGCTCCGTCGATTGAAGTGTCATCACCTAAATACTTTTCTTACGCTATGGCTTTATCGCAACTTGTACCGATAAACGTATCATTATTCGACATCGTAGGAAACTCTGGAAATACCCTGGATGGGGCTAGTAAGTTTAAGGAGGATGGGTACGAGGGCGCCACCAAGCCGGAGACGACGCTGGAAGCGGTGATGGTGGACCCGGGTATTTCGCATTCTACCAGTCAACCAGTGAAGCCAATGTCTGCCGACAGGTGGGGCCCCATTCGCTTTAAGGAACCTGAAAGATTCCTCTCCCGTAAAGCACCTGTTGGAAAAACTTGCTGTTTCCTCCGTTGATAGCAGCGATTTGCTCTCCTATGGTGGGAAAGTGAACTTTTCCAAATTTTTTATAGTATAGACAATTCTATAGCTCTCTTTTATCATTTTATGAGGAAATAGGCTGTAGGTTTGCTCATTCTCGTTAAAAGTACCCTATTCAAAATAACACTGCAGCTCTTATATATTATGGGAACCCGTCAGCCCTTCAATCCCATTCAGCCTTTTTGACCATTCATCCATTCAGACCATTTTAGCCTTTCCCACCTTTAGACGCCCAAATGATTGTGAATCATAGGTCAAAATGCAGGTGTTTAAAACGTGATAGGAAGTTTATTCTAGACATTGAGTGTTACATATAAGCTGAAACTCGGAAAGAATCCAAGAACCAACGTGCATTCAAATCTCGGTGCACGCAGCTAGAATGAAGCGAACAGACCAAATAGTTGCAACCGAGTTCTTTGTCGACAAAATATCTCTCGATCAGTCTTGTACACGTTACTAAAAAAATGTAATCGATTACAATTACTATTACTCTTGGCTAAAAAGTATTCGATTAGATTACTTGATTACTCGACGGCAAAAGTGATTGGACATTACTTAAAGAAGTAATCGTTACTCTTCCGATTACTTTATTGTGTGAAAGCTTACATCTTTAGCGCTCATAACAATGAACTACTTCCAACCTATATTTCACATTTGCACAAGTATTGAAAAAGAAAAACTGGCTCCCTCTTCGTGGTCGTTGCACCTTCACAATGCGGACACAAGCATAGAATTCGTTTGAAGACGTTTAATGATTTGGGCGTTCGCCAGTGTGTGTGTGTGTGTGGGGGGGGGGGGGGGGGGGGCGGAGGGGGTTCTAGATTTTGTTAAGCTTGAGCAAGGGTTGTCGCTCAAAGTTTGCGTCGCTCATTTTATTATTCACATGTGGATGAGCTCGCATGTTATACAAAAGAGCAGCAGCTCCAGGATTTGAAACGGATCATGTGTAGTATCCATTAGCGGAAGAGATCGCCCCGACCCCTTCTCAACTCAAAACATTGCTTGTCACAAAGACCACGTAGGGGAAATGGGGAAATATTTCAACTGCCTTTGTTATATTTTGCATCCGCTTTAGGCATTCTTCGGTTCTGGTTCTCCTACGGGCTGCGAGTAGGTGCACTAAACATGATTTTTTTTATTTTTTTTTATTTCTGTGTGTGTGTGCTTGAGGGGGCTAGTTTGAGCGAAGGACTTACAAAGCTACATTCTGCCTCCCCAAACTTCGCCCTGAGTGACCTTTGTCACGCACTGCGGCCTCCCTGGGGCTTACCGCTCCCAGTCCCAGATCGAAAAAAAAAAAAAAAACCGGACATTCCACAGAAACTGTACATAGAAAGAGATTGACTTCGTCTCCTACAGCTCCGCAAAAATCTTACTTTTTCCCGTTCGAAAAAAAAAAAAAGCAAATTTTATTTTTGTCATTTTATTAAAAAAAAGGCGTGTGCCCGGGGAGGGGGGGGGGGGGGGGGGGGGGTCCCGTGGACAAATTGTAACGGTTACAAGTAATTTTATTACTTCAGAAAGTAATTAGATTACTCTTGTGATTACTACGTAATAAAAGTAATCGACTGATTACAAAATTACTCCAAAAAGTAATCGATTACAAGTAATTTGATTACTTGTAATGCGTACGGTGCAAGTCTGCTCTCGATGCACTCACACTGCCGCCGGGTATATTCTTGAGATGTACGGCATCTAAACTCTCAAAGCCGAGCGGATGAAGCACAAATATACACGCACTGTCAATAACACGTTTAGCGAAAACCACGAATGCGAAACCAAAATCTGCCGCCGTTGAGGAAATCCTGTGCACGGTTACGGCAATGTCCCTGGTGCCGTCGAGGTCGTGTCCCGGCGTCTTTTTCACTCGCTGGATGAGCTTTCGTAGCCGAACGGACCAACAGTTGCAAGAAACAAGGCACTGAGAGACCTGTTCCCTCATCTGCACTCCGAACAGCTTTACAAAGATATATTCTACGCGTGGGACGAGAAGCGGACATTGAGCGACCGCTCGTTCCGGCCGCCCAATACAAAATGCCAAACTGCTTCTCCGACGCCTATCCTGAAAGGCCACGTGATATCACCGAGAGACCCGTTGAAAGTACTTTAATGGGTCACGTACTTTACCAAGATGATCGTACAGGCCTCACATGCATCTAAACAAAGATGACGGATATCTCCGACCATTCAGCAATATTTAAAGGGTACGTAAGGCCTCTTAAAAAACTTAACGAAACTTTCCAGACGTCTCAAAAATTATTGAAAGGTACGCGAATACCTTTCAGAAATCCTGGTGGGTTCCACATTCGGTTTTCCAACAGGGTACACACATTAAAATATTGAGTCTACTCACATTTGTTCCCTCGTAGATACAAACTATAAAATAAAAAAAAAATATCGGCAAAACGTGAGGTTAGTAATAGGTATGCGAAAAATAAAAAAAAAAGCATATGGCAGTTGTGCCGAGAAACTATAGTTAGCTATATCATCCTGAACATTGAAATGGTCCAGTATTCGTTTTATAACTACCCTGTATTGAACCATCGTAAAATAATCAGTGAAGTACGCGTTAAATTGTGACCCGTTTTCGGTATGAAATATTTTATCCCTTCGCCCATTCAAGACGAACAGAAAAAACATTTATACCTTTTTGTTACATCAAGATTTAAGATCTTTCAAAATCTTTGATATGACTGTTAATGATAGCACATACAGCTTCTTTTGTTTTTGTGAGGAAAGGAAAGACTAAAGCACAGACTGATTTCAGATACTACTACCATTTGCCATACGGCGACAACAAGCCATGCCTCTGGGTAAAGAGCGTTTGGCAAGACTACCGACGAAGACTGTGCAACTCCAACATGATCCTCAAAATCAAGGAGAAGCTCGTGAGGACACTTCTACAGCAGTCTTTTCTTTTTAGTTGGCTTCGTTTTGCGTTGGTCACTAAACTCAACAGTTTATCTTAACATATTTCGTCATTTTCATGCGAAGCCTACAACCGTCAAAAGAGGAATTGCGATTAATAATCACCCTATTCTCAATAGACCATTGACCAATTAAAAAGAAAAAGTTGTGTAGCGAAACTGAATTTAACGAACGAGATGCAGTTAAAGTGTGCAATGTATTCGGTAATCTAATTTGCTAAGAGCAGCAATCAGAAACGTACTGGCGTCTAAAGATGGCATGTTCATAACACAAAACCTTGCGAACATAACGGTGGATAAACGAGACACTGGAATGGCATCGCAGTGACAAATGATGAAGCGTACCTCATTACCGGAGTTACAAACACTCAAGGAAATAGCTCCATACGAAATCAGGTCATTACATATGTTTATAAAATATTCAACGCACAAATCGTTATGCCACAAGCCCTCATTATGTTACACATATCAAGCATATTACTGAACCAATAAAATAAAATGATGTCTCGTCGGTATATTATAAGGTTAATAAAACCACTCTAACAGCGTAGAAATGCTTGTGCCCATGTTACAGGCTTTGCGCTTTTACAAAATACTATGGAGTTTTAACTTTTCTTCGTTGCGAATGCGTACTTAGTGATATATTTCTTCTAAAGCTAACGAGGCTGGTGGTTCAATTTATGAAGGCATCTTTACGTTCCGCGTACCGCTTTTCAGGAAGCTGGCCTCGCCGATATTCAAGAAATGGTGAGGCTGGAAAAACCACACACTGATCGACGACTCAGGGGAGTGCTGGAGGAACTTGCGAACGGGTGCAAGTATGTACTGTCAGTTTTATTGAATCAACATCGTCATTGTTGCCATCGTGAAAATTTTTTTTTCCCACAACAGTCAAGATAATTAACACCGTCACCACCATTAGAATTATTATTATTATCGCCAACATGAATATTTATATAACTATAATGATCAACATCATCCCCACTACCATCATGAATAATGTTTTACTCAAGTCACGCGGTTGCTATAGTTGGCGATAACTTAACGGCAAAAGAGACACTGCGCAAAGCATAAACGGACAAGTGTAAAGCATTAACACACGTTTTTCAGTATGTCCGTTTTAGTTTCGCCCAATGATTATTTTGTAGTGAATGCTTCCGCGCCAAACAAAAAATGTTTTTTTTCTTTCTTGCCAAGCAATTCCCTTGGTTCTCTCTCTGGAGACGACAATGCGTAGTTCTTAGAGACTTCCGCGGGGCAACAGACGTATTGCCAATTTTTTGGGGGCAAGCAGTTCTAACTGTAAATTCATAACGCTATAGCAATAGCAATATATTTATTTAATAAATTACCGCACTTCATGTTACACTTCTGCCTACTTGCCTACATTGATGGTTTCATGTCTGTTTTTTGTTAGGCTTTTCTTAAAAATCAAACTAGACCTGTCAACAAAAACAACGTTATTATCCAGTCGCTGTTTTTCCAAGATGTTTTTTCAGTCTAATGAACCGATTGACGTCGAACATAATATCAGACTTCTTGCATACGTTCAATATGGTGGAGCACTGAACCTCTTTTATGTCCGATGATTCGGGTAGCCGGTACCTTCATCTCGCCAAGTGTCAGGGTCCGATCGGAAAGACGAAGCTGGACAAGGAGCGTCTGAAGCATTGCCAACGGGAAGTGGTGCGTGCGCTGTTCTCTTTCTTTTTCGTATCAAGTCCTCCTTATGACGCAATACAATTCCGGCCAGTCTTGAAATGTTTGCTCCTTAATTCTCGACGCAGGACCACATTGGAACGATGGCGAGGACCATGAAGGCTCTGGTCACCAAAAACTCCTTCAAAGAAAAGCTTCGCACTACGAACGGCCTCCTACTGAAGTTGACCGACCTCATTGATGACGTAAGCAAAAATGTCATATTCTCCTTTTAAATGCATTATATTCTTGCAATATTTGCCATTCAGTATTAATAGATTTCAGGGCATTGCGAGTGAATGGTTTGGAACTGCTGGGATCGCATTTTGTCATGCACACCTTAATTACCTTAATGGCATTGTTTCTAATATCGGTATTTCTAGCTACTGCTTGCAGATACGCCAGCCTGGCGACAACGAGACAATGACCACGTGCCTGCAATTACGTTTTTTTTTGTGAAGTGCGTTAGCAGACTGTTTATTTATTTATTTGCAATGTCGAGACCCACTTGTATAGCACAGCCAAAAGAAAGGCGAACATTCCTTCATACAATATAAAGTAGATAAACACCAAAACGAGAATAAATTATAAAAATATTTTTTAGAGTATGGGAACGCAACCAAGGAGTACGACTATAAAAACACTTTATTAACAACAGCAACAGTGTGCTCCAGTCTTGGGTTAAAGTCATCATGATAAACTTGCACCAGCTCGCCTGCGCACTGACTCTACTTTCGTTAGTCTGAACGATTTGAACATAACTTATATAAAAGAAACTTGACAGAATTCTCGAAGTTATCAAATTGCCTGGGAGGTCTGTCGCAATAAAATGAGTTGATATCAGGCTGAATATGTTTAATAGTTAACGGTTCTGAGTTTAGAGCTACCGAGTTCGTTGCAATGTCTTCGAAACTCCATTTTAACAATATGACGGTCTTCTTTGTAGGATGTTTGTTTTATCCGGATCGGCATTTCTCCTTGCAGCCTCAGCACTCATTGCCGGACGTGTTTGTGTGGATGATCAGCGGAGGAAAAAGGGTGGCCTACCACCGAATAGCTGCGAGGGACCTTATATTTTCCATAGTTGAAGAAGAAAACGGAAAATTCTGCGGGAAAGTGCAAACTCTTTTTCTGAAGGTGAGAAATTGTAGCACGGTTTTCTCAAGGTTTTGCAAATGCAATACCTCCTCTAAACGAATTTTATTTGTATAAAATAAAGTGTAGTTCGGTGTCGATTTTTTCCGCTAAATTTTGCAGGAAAATAATCGCTAACTTTTCGAATAAATTTAGCGGTAAATTTTCACTAAACGTTTCGCTAAATTTAGCGGGGAAACTTAAGCCGCTAAGTTTTGCGGGGATATATTCATGTCAAATTTCGCGGGAAAATTTCCCGCTATATTTAGCAGGCAAGTTTTCTCTAAATTTACTGCTAAATTTAGCGGAAAATGTTCACTAAATTTTCTGCTAAATCTAGCTGGAAAACTTAATCCGCTAAATTTAGCGGGAAACATTTTGCTAAATTTAGCGAGAAATCTAGCGAAAATTTTCCGCTCAATGGGAGGAGAGGAGGAGGGGAGGGCACGGGGGGAGGAGAGGCATGCCCTCCTCTTTGCACCCTCCCCTCCGTACCCTACCCTCCCCTCCGTACCCTACCCTCCTCCTCCTCAAGAGCTGCGCTCTAATTTTGCATTACAGATAATTATAAAAGTCTTTGACTTTTTTGTGTCTGTGTCTGCTTGAGCGTGTGCTTCGATAAACTAATTCGAAGAATATTATTAGATTTCGTTTTTGTTAACAAAATAAAAGTAGATTTTACAATGTGAGAGGGTTTAGGTATTATTTGGGTTTCTTTTCACTGTAATGCATAAATAGTTTCAACGTGGAACACAATACCGATATCTTAGGATCACAGCTAGCCAAATACTAGCTGAGTGATTGCATTCAATACGCATTCACTGCAAGGATATTCGCGAAATACATGTTTCGCTTTGTTGCAGTCGTAGAAAGCGATGAGTCGCTGAAGGCAACACTGAATATTTAACAATTTGAGCTCGAGCGCGGGACGCCATTAGCTATGCCATCAGCCTAATGCGTACCAGCCGCATACATTCAAATTAGGGTATCTCAGATCCTCCTTGCGAATTAATCACTAGACAACCTAGAGCGCTTCGTTAATTAAGTTTCAACTGCATCGCTTAAAAAACAAAAAAAAACAACAACAACAACAAAAAAAAAACAAGGTGGCCAGTGTGTAAAATGAAATTTCGTCAAAATTGTCACTGTATAGTTACTCTTAGCATAAAAAAAGAAAAAAAAATGCATGGCGTCGGAAGTTTTTTGCACCTTATTATTACTCCGTGGCGTTCTTTTATTCGAGTCAATTGTCTAAATTTTACGATGTTGAGCGTTTAAACCTTTCCTTCTTGCAAAGCTTGGAATGTACGCACGCCGGTGGTCAACGGGGAGATTTTTCTTGCTTCAAGGAGTTAGTTGTACCTTAGAAAACTGTAGTGTAGAAACTATAGTCAAGCCTATATGCGACCTTAGGACCTTCTTTATGTATGTAGTGGCTCGTATTATGACATTTGGCTATGTTTTCCCTGATCCCTTTGATAATTCCTTCTTAGGGCAAGCGTATTGGTGACGAATTTCTCTCGTTCAAGGTATGACCACGTAGTGCCATGCTGCAAGACTAGACCTGCCACCCTGCACTTTTTTATTTCGATGCTTTTTGCACTAGTAGGACATAGAAGCTCACAACGCGCGTTTTATCACTGCTGCTGATGCGTTTCGTTATATGGCTACGGACAGACTAAGAAATGCAGGATGTGGCAAATCCTGGTAATCTTAAAGTCGGTTCGAAGCCAATGAAATCGTTCTGTAGGAATATAAGGCTGCGAAAAACTTATTACGAAACAAGAAATGTAAACTCAATAAGCCACAACTTGCGTATCTTAAACTGTCAGTGACGTTAATAGCTTGCGAAGCCCCAATTAAAGGGACGATAAGCTGCGGGACTGCCTTCCGTTCTGCCTTTTTGCGCAAAGCTGGCTTTCTTGTACTGGGAGTTCCCGAGAAAAGAAAAGAACCGTGTGTTTAGGCCCGGGAAAATAATTTATGCATCGCAGAAAGCTCAAACTCCGTGAAAATGTGACGCTGGCGGTTGGTATATAAACCAAAAGTTTGAGAAGGTGACGTTGCCTGAATCTAAAGATAATTGAGAAATACGAAATGTCTCCTCTCCATGAGCCGTCGTTCACTTAAGCCTGATACCGTCAATACAGAAACTGACTTTGTGGACGCATGTAGAGTTTGTATAAGCGAAAAACACTTGCCAGCAAAAAGAAAATATTGTTTTCTTTCTTGCTGACATGTCTTTTTTTTTGTACTGAAATAGAGGTTTCGGACACCCATCAATGTCATTGCTTGTTTTGGCGATATTTTGCTTAGGAGGATGTCGGCACATAAATAAATTATGCTTTTCTCAAGTATTTATTGATCCACCTATCATATGCTCAAACGTTTGCGTTCGGTCCTAACTGATAGCATATATTCTCACGAAGCTTGAGCTTTCTGCGATGTATAGTTTACTTACCCGGGACAAAAACACGTTTTTGTTTCCAGGTGCTCCCAGCATTTTACGCTGATTCGATACCCTTTTTGTTTTAAGTCGTTGAGAACAGACGCGAAGTGAGATGGGGAGTTGCGTACTGAATGACTATTGTAGCGATTTTACGTTAGCAGTTTCAGCTTAATTGAAACTAACGCAATGCCAAAGTTTGTATTGTTAAGTCGGTTGAAGCCACCACAGGCTCGCCATGTGTGGCATTGTGACAATGGGTTTTGAATTAACATCGTAACAACGGTTAAGAAATAGGGAAACTATGGCTGGTGTCGATCCATACACCCGTTTTGCATCATAAAGAACTTTTTCACGAAGGGCGATAATTTTACGCAACGTTCTTAGTACAGATAGATAAACTTACTTGAAGCTTCTTTATATTGTGCATATATTTTGATAGCTCCTAACGAAAGTAGTGGTTTACTAAAGTAATTGAGACTTGTGAGGTAGGACAAGCTCTCAGAAAGACTAGATTATATGAGTCACAATACCCCGGGAACGAATTGTTCTCCTCTCCAGTGAAGTTGCCTAGGAAATAGCGGTGCTTGAAAACGCTTCGGCCTCACAATGTTGCTTGCACTGAAATGGCCAATGTTCTAAGCAGCGCGCTGCGTCCCTACTATGACTTTATTTTTGTTCTTTGTGCCGTTCATTTTTCATCAGCTGAGCATTGCAAGCCTGCTTGTTTATGCACTCTAAAAAAACGTTCAGAGAGTTCACTTTCTCTCATTACACGGAGACAGCTAACTAACGTGAACAATGGAATCATTCTAGCGAATGAAGGGGCTTAGAATGAGACGAGACGTAAAAAATGCGATGTGCGTGAGCACAATCTGCATGCCGTTTTGTTTGTTTATTAATATCTCGCGCACAACGCTGTCTTTAAAGTCTCATCACATTTTGAGCTTGGTCATTCACTGGGATCCCTCTACTGTCAGCAGAGATTGACTACCTGCACATTTGGTAACTAAAGGCACAAGCATTGTTTAGAGAGCACGGTTTTGTTTTTAAGATGGTCCGCGTCGTTTTTTTTTCTTCTTTTTTTTGTTTCTCTTGGACAGCCGGGGAAGAAGACCAACCAGAGCGGACGCTGGACGGTGCAGGCCAAACTGCGAATGCACCTCTGGCTAGGAGTGACCAAGCACAAACACTGCGCTCTCAGGGGTCTGCCCGAAGGCTACGAAAAGGATGTTGATGACATTGACAAAGGACCGCCATCGCAGCTTCATTATACAGGCAAGTACAACACTGAACCTTTTTTTGTTCTTGTGTTTACAATCAATTTAACACCACCTCGATAAATACAAGGCTGTAATATCTCGTTTATGACGTCACGCGAATGGTGCGATAATATGCAGGACGGTTGTTGATGCGCTCCCGTTCTCATTATGGATGCCATACTCGCGTGATCTTGATGTCACTTTGAACAGACAGCTGTGTCCGGAGAACTAGTGTAGTTCTCCGGACACAGCTAGGTAGCTTTGGCTGATCACTGTGAAGAGCACACAGAAAAGAACAACAAAGCAGAGGATCTTATTTGTGACTGTTTCGTGCTTGCTTTTAGGTGCTGTTATTTCTCCACAATTGAATTGTATCAGCAAGTCTAAACGTTTGAGCTTAATAAACTCTACGCGTGAATTTCAGTCGGAACATAAATTAATATTTCTCGACTGCCCAATGGAAGAAATAACAAAAGACACAACTTTATAGCACTTGGGTACCTCTTTTCCATTTACCTGTTCTGTTAAATGATCATATAAGAAAGTGCTTACTGGAGTCCATAGTGAGCTTAAGTCATGTTTGAAGTGGAGTTATTGTTTTTCGTGATAAATGATTTGAGAAATGAGTCAAAATTTGGTAATATTATTTTTTTTATTTCAGAAAAGTCAGTGTTTCAGCTGAGGGCACACATGTACCAGGCCCGATCTCTGATTGGTTCAGACTCTTCCGGTCTGTCTGACCCTTTCGCCAGGGTGGTTTTTGGAGACCAGAGTCAGACGACAATGGTAGGGAAAATTTTCGGTATGATTAGGTTGTCTTATACATATACCATTGAGTTTTACCGATGTTTAAAATGATAAATGCTGCAAATACGGCGTGGCTCGAACGGACATGGTTAGCAGAGTTAGCAACATTCATTAAACAGTCTCAGGGATACAAAATGTGACAATATTGGTGTGAGACTGACGTGAACCTCAGCGGCACGTCCCAGAATTGATGCCTCAGAGAGCAATTGTAAAATCTAGTCATTCACTAAAGTCACAGTTATTAAATTTCCGTAGCAAAAGTCAGCGTTGGGAACCATTGACGGCCATTCACCAGGGAATTTCTAAAGAAAACCGTCTTGCAAACTAAAAAAAGAAATATCAAATTTGGGTGTTTTTTGCGTTGAACTAAGGACATCTGGATCACCGCAGTGGTGGACTGAGAAATAATTCTGAAAACCTGGGAATGTTTTGACCTACAAGAAAAATTTGTTACACGGCCTGTCTTCTACAATAAGCCTCCTCCAGACTGCGTGTAATTTGGTCCCGATTCAAACCCGCCACTTGGGTATCCATAGACCGGCACTTTGCCTCAAAGACGCCGATTTGAACCACACAAGAATTATTCGAGATATTATTGTGTCACTATGCGCATCTTCATCTTCTTGCAAATCTCGCGGTGTCTCGGGAGTTTCAGGAGTGAATATTTGTTTTTGGTGCGCCCGTAGGTGATCGACGAAACTCTGAGTCCCACGTGGGACGAGATGCTACTGTTCCCTGAAGTTACCGTGTACGGCAAAAAGGATGACATCAAGGAAGACCCACCAGTCGTCGTCATTGAAATCTTTGACCAAGACAAAGTCGTGAGTACACAGTTAGGTGTACTGGCAACTTCCGCAATCCACCAAACGTTTTACTCCCGGAATACGTTGTTTGAGTGATACCGCTTTAGGGTAGAAACCTTGTCGGATCTCCTACACTCCGACTTAGCCGTTTGCAGTTACATTTTTGCTACAAGATTTCACAAAGCAAAACAAAACTCAGCGAGTGTCGCCCTAACGTTCTGAAGGCAGTCACTCGGAAACGGCATGTCTTATGGTATGGCGACCTCTATTGTAGCACTGTAATATCTATACTCCGTTTCACAATAGCGATCTTCAGGGAGCCGTTTTTGCACATCCGATGCGGTAGGATGGGCTCTCCGCTAAGAACTGCGCATATTGTGAGACGTTTGTGGCAGCGCATGCGCAGTTCGTAGCGGCGTGCTCACCGTGCACCGTATCGAATGCGCAAACACGGTTACCTAAAACTCTCTATCAAGTCGACTGCAGCCGACGCTACGGTTAGATAAAGCCAATCAAACAGGGCCAAAAAGTGTATGGTCATGGCTCTAATGGTCCATGTTGGTCCGCTATCACCGGTTAAACCGATCACGCACAGTAAATGCGGCGTGATACCTAGCTTTCTTTTGTGAGTGATTGGTTAAATCGGTGATGGGAAACTTACAAAGGCAGCTAGCGCCGTGACGATGAACTCTTGGCGCTGCGTGATTAGCGCCATCGGATCGTTGCGTTGGAGGCGGTGGTGGGACTCAGCGTGAAAGAGTATGGGAGAAAACAACTGCATTATAGTTTAGAAAGCTTGGTGACATGACCTCAACACTTAGGCGCCCTGAAGTTCTTGAGATTTGCCGTCTCTAGCTAGGGTTTGCATACTAAAAACAGCTCACTGTTTCGATTATGTAGATAACATTGAGCGAGATAGACCGTTTGCTCTCAAAGTAATCTACAACAACGCAATAAAATCGACAAAAAGGTAAAAAAAAAAGTCTGCTTATAAGGCTTGTTGATGCGGATTTTGTTCCAACATATTTTTATTTGAATCCAACCTATCATAATTTTGTACTTTTACAGTGGCGCAACGCTCAGTAAATGACTATTTTGCACCATGAGTTGCGAAATACTTAAGCTTATTATAGTGCCGAAGTTAACTCGTGACACTGCGTTATGTAATGAGAATGTCTCGGTAAACCGTGAGTTTACTAGTGCCGTTATGCTTTCAGGGGAAGTCGGAGTTCATCGGTCGGACGATATCGAGACCTCACGTGAAGTTCGGTGACGACCTGTACGTGAAGCCGGCATTCCCGCCTTGTCTGGAATGGCATGACCTCTACCGGGGAACTGAGCAAGCCGGTGAACTTCTAGCGACGTTTGAACTGCTCCAGGTTTGTTATATTGGAAGCCATTTTTATTTTTGATACTTACTTGTCTGATCTCAGAAATGAAACTGCTAAAAACTGTTCACCAAATCGCCGACTGCGATTTACCACACCCAACATGTTTTTCTAGCAATAAGAAAAACACACAAAACATATTAAAGGAACAGGCAAGATTGCGCGAGCTTGACAAAAATACATAGAATAGGCAAATACAATGCCCACGAATCTTCATTGATTTTTAGTATGTATAAACTTATTAGAAACCTTATATAAGCCACTGCTTTTGATATGATCTTGAATACCATGTCATAACCAATACAGAAGCTTGTCAACCGCCACGAAATTAGTGAACTCTAATGAACGAGCTTCTCAGGTGGTTGCACGCGCCTTTCAATTAAGTTTTAGATGACTCTAGACTCTCTTCATTGTGTGAAAGGACGTGACGTCCACCTACATTCATTAATTCCCTCTATTTGACACGCCTATAAGTTTTATCAATTTACCACTTTTTAATTTCATGTTGCGGCACGTGCCCTCAAAAAAAGTATTTGAACAAGCTCTACTAAGATTTCTGAAGTTTGCGGACCAAGTTTTGAAAATTAATCGTCTTAATGTTTTTTTTTTTTTGCTGGCATTTTTTGCGAGCTTTTTCTTTAGTTAAAGAACGTGTTTGCAACGACAGCTTCTTAATGTTAGTGTCTTCTTTTTCTTGTTTAACTGCAGTTTTCCCCTTTCGAAGAAAAAGAGGACATGCCGGATCTTCCTATGCAGAAGGAGAGTGTTTACAGATCGACGGACCGTGGGCCCGTCTACCCGGTCCCCAAAGGCATCAGACCGACCCTCTCAAACTACAGAATCGAGGTTCGTTTCTGACTCTTTCATTCAACTGCACTGCGCTTTGAATTTGCGTAATTTATTTGAATAAAGTGTGTATACGAATACAAATTAAAAGTAGCGCAAAGACACGGACAAGAACGAGAAGGTAGACGAATCAGGCGCTGGCTTACAACTGTCGTTTATTCGTGCCAACACCGATTATAAATACTTCAGGGTCAAAACAAAAAACGAAGAAAAAATACATGACATGGACGCCACGTGCTGCTTAAATGCTGACGTACGCTTCGCGCTTTCCACTTTTGCCTTCCTCCTTCTTTCCTAAATCCTCTCCACTTTTCACCCCGCCCCAACTTGACTCCGCTCGCCGCTTAGGAGAGGGGAGTGCTAAGAGGATTATCCTCCCTGCAGAAAACCAAGGTTGTACGTCTCCCTTTAAGCCACCGCCACGCGCTGTTACTGTGCGTCTAAAAAGCAAAATTCTTTATCAACCTGAGAGAGTGATGGAGCGAAGACCACAGTTTTCTTCCAATCTTCCAATTTCCCGAGCTGTCTCAATGATCGCTTGCGAGAGCATAAGTAAAACGTTTATAGGGATGTGTGAGGTCATCTTGGCCTGCATTGCGGAGACTGGCGTTGCAGTCTCGTATTCGGCAAGTGTGAGGTGATTAGAAAGAACAGAGATAAAACTCGCACGAGAAGTTATTGAAGCGCGAGAAATTGGATGATTGGGGGAAACTGTGTCAACGCTCTATCACTCTCTCTGCCTGGTAAAGGATGTTGCTTCCTAGACGCACGGTAACTGCGCGTGACGGTTGCTTAAGCAGCACGGGGTGTCTACGTCAGGTATTTTCTCTTGGTGTGTTTGTTTTGACGTTGCAGTATTTATACTCGATGTTAGCACGAATAAACTTCAGTTGTAAGTCAGCGCCTTGTTCGTCTACCTTCTCGATTTGTCCGTATCTTTGCGCTGTTCTTAATTTTCGGTCATGAAATACCAACTAGCTCACACTTCTACGCTAGTGTTTATGAACCTCGGCGTTTTTCGCAGTTCACAATAGACGCGTTTTAAAAGTCGTGTGCCAATTGTTAAGGCTAGACTTCATGGTGAGAAAAAAGTGACGAATGTTACACGGCGACGTTCGCCTTGCGCGTGGTGTCGGAAGATTGGCTGTTTTGCCACGCGCAAAGAGAACGCGTCGCCGGGCGAAGTTCGTCGGCTCTTCCCCGCATAATCTCTCCATGGCGCTCTGCTATTAGTAGGTCGCAGCCACAGCGCAATGACGGGACAGCCGACACCGCTGAAATTGCGACTGATAACGTAAAATGGCAACAAAATACATGTTGAAATATGGACGTTTGCAAGTACGGCCTCTGGGCGTCGCCATCTTGCTGCTGGTGTTGGTAGGTCGCCCGATAGTCAAGCATTGCTGAGGCGTACCCACGGTTTCCAGACTGGCCCCCACACGCAGCGTTTTTCGTCTAGCTCTCAAAGCGCGGCTGCTTGCAAAACGTCTATTTCTACACTTCGTGCCGCCGTATGTCGGTGCGTGGCCAACGCTGGGAGCCGAAGAAGCCGCTCAAAACAACGCTTAAAGCACTACGCTATGTTTATCCCTTTTTCTTTGGCCTCATTGTCGGACCCGATGCTTAATTGGCATCATCGGGTTGGAGCGTTCGTTGCGGTTGGGTTTAATGTGAAACGAAGTGTATGTGGAGCGCAAGTTCGTCTGCTTCTTTTGCATGGGTTATGGTGACGTCAGAACGCCGAGCTCTGATTGGCTCTGATCGAAGGATAGTGGGTAGACCTCTAGGCAGCTTGCTTTGATGTCTACCCCCTATCCTACGATCAAAGCCAATCAGAAATCGGCGTCGTTCTGACATCACCAGATCCACTGTGCAGGAAGCAGACGACCTGCTCTTCACATAGAGTTTAGACGAGCAGAACAAGCTTACTTTTAAAGCATGAAATGCTTTTTGGCGCTACCCCCCGATCCCGGAACTGTGTTCTGTCTGTCCGTCCGTCCCAGCAAATTCCAACTAAATGTAGCGGAAAAATTGATATCACGAGGCCTATGCACGAATTCAGTTTCTCAGCTAGCTTTGTCAGGGGAATTGATGTCACGCTAGCCGACATCGCGGAACATACGGACCATTTCACTTCTCTCGCTAAATTCAAAGAAAAAAGTGGCGTCACGTGGCGTGTAGACCGATTCAGTTTCACCTCTAAATTTGGCGGGAAAGTGGCGTCACGTGACGTCACCTGATGTCACGTGACCTATTCACCCTAGGAAAATCGACGGCACATGACCCATACGTCAAATATAGTTTCCCCGCTGAATCAAGCGGTAAAATTCACGCCTAGTGCCCAAAATATTCATTCAGTTTCCCCGCTGAATTCAGCTGGAAAATATACGTCATGTGACACAATGACTTCCTCACCAATTCCACTACAATTCATTTGATGGATTAGAGAACGTTGAAAGCAAGAGTCGCCTTCAATCTTTTTGCTTTGCCAGGTTCTTTTTTGGGGATTGCGCGAACTGAAACGAGTCCACCTGATGACTGTCGACCACCCCCGAGTGGACGTCGAATGCGCCGGGCACGTCCTTCAGTCGTCTGTGATCCTCAACTGCAAGAAGAACCCGAATTTCTCGACACCGGTCAAGTTCCTGGACGTGGTACGACAACATTCCCCATCTCATACTGTAAATTAATCTTTTTTCTGGTGGCATTCTGCAACACCGGTGTCTTAACTCTAGCGTTTCATATTTCCAGTATGGCACCAATGAACACCTAACAGGAGTCCTCTAGCCGGTTTATTCCAATAAAAATTACAAAATAAAATTGTTATTGAAAAAAAAAAAAGAGTTTTACGGTAGGAACTTTTCGCCTTTCAACTTTATTTTGCTCCGATCCGGAATACGGCAAGGGGCCGGCGTAGACTCGTAACACACGAAGTTGGGGCCGAAGTTTACGGAACGCGCTGATTGTACTCTGGCAGCGATGACGCCGCACTTTTGCCACCGAACTCCATTTGGCCTTATGCGCGAACTTTCGGCTTCATATTTGTGTTTGATGAGTGGAGACTAAAGTTCCTAGACAGGAGCTTCCTACGAGTAGAGACATTCTTTGAAGCGCCGACCGCGCGACGGCGCAGGTGTTAGGAAGCTAATGGCGGCGCACAGCAGAAGACAGAACTGAATGACGCCATTTTGTTTTAGCAGAATGTGCCCTGTCATTTGTATTGATTGTCGTCACTTTTAAAGAGAAGTATCAAGGGAGTTTAGTCTAGACAAGTCCTGCACTAAACTGCCCCAAACGCAATGATGACTTTTTGTTTTTGGCCTAGGGGGGGGGGGGGGGGGGGGGAGCGGGGGGGGATTTAGTTTTCTTTTTTGCTTATTGGTACCGGCACGTTTTTCAAGTGTTCGACGAGCACACATGTTTTCTAGGGTACGGGGAATCCCTGGGACGTGTCTTGATTTCTTGATCACGTATCCCTCTTAAGGCCAACCTTTTTGTCCCACAGCAAAAATGGACTCCGAAAACCTTATTTAATTCCGCGAAACAAATAAAACCCCTGAAAGAAAAACATCAACGAAATAGAGGGAACATTCTGAAAACAGGCAACACTTAACATACACAAAGAAATAGTTATAAATTAATAAGCAGAAAATTATTTGATGACAACACTCTTGTGCCATCCCTTCTTGCAATTCAGGCGTTACCGGACCAGGAGACGTACTGTCCGCCCCTCACTATACGGGTGATGGACTGTCGCAGCTTCGGAAGATTCACGTTGGTTGGTACCCACGTGGTCAACTCTCTCCACAAGTTTCTCTTCCGACCTTCGTCGAAGAAGGACCGAAGTGGATCCCGAACCTCGTCGTCTCTGCACATTGGTCTGTTCGCTCTGTATCTGCATTGTTTGCTTGTCTAAAGACAGAAAAAGAAACAACTAGCAAATAACATCTTGTTTTCTAAAACGCAGATGAGGGTGTGCTGGTGGACCTGGACAACGACACCAATATGTTGACAGGAAAGGAGACAATCATCACGCTAGACTACGTAAGGTTTAACTCTAGTTTGTTCCGGAACCTGTAATAAAACAAAGCCAAATTAGTGAAGCGAAGCAAGCTGGAGTCATTTTTGAAAGTGAATACGTGAAAGTTTTTCATTAACTCACTCAATCAATTCAGGTTTTAGACTTTGACTTGTAGATAGAGCATGGTCGTGAAGAAAACCTCGTACGCGAGTCAACGTTAAGGACGCCGGATAAAAAAACAATAACAATTTGTCAGCTTCATTCTTTGTTTATCAACCCAAAACAGCACCATTTCATACCAGCCAACCCATCTTGCTTGACTAAAACAATAGTAAAATTATATGTTAGAGAGTTAATTTTTCACCATCTATTTGATATGCATGATTAACAAACACCGCCCAAAAAAATGGAACTCGATTTCTACGCAAACTTACCCCAATTTCAATGTTATATAATCTTAGTGTTTTATGCTTCTTAAATAAAGCGGACGTTAAGAACACGTGAACGACGCCCAGTTTTTTTCCGTCTCTGAGATATGGTTTGACGGGTCGGTCTGATAGCATTGCAGTTATGACCATGTTGCAACGCTTGCCTGGCAGTTGAATCGCAGAGTGTGGCTGTAGCAAGTTTATCAATATCAATTTTATCGCTCGTTCAGTGACCCGCCTAATAACATGTTCTTTAGTTTGAAGTGTGAGAGCCTAATTTATCTTTCACTACTAGAGTCTTTTTTATCATAACTTAAGGAACGGATAAAGCCACTGCCCCAGCAAGCCAATAGGAGCGTAGGAGAGAGGCACGTAACGATGCTTTGTATGAATCCATTCCTCCTGTGAAGAGCAGTCACGTGCTTCACTCTATTGCTGTGATTATATCAAGGGTGTCGTTGCGTTCTAAATTTGAAAAGTTTTGCCAAAACGAGGCACGTTTAAGGAGAGAGATGCGCCACTGCACACCATTCGAGAAATCGAGCGTAGTTACAAAATGAAGTGTGATTTGGTAGGATACACTGAGATCATTTTAAAGCTTTTTTTTTGTGTGTGTTCTCGCAATTTTAGGGTCTTAAAAGCAAGAAAGAGTTAAAAAGTGAAGCAAACAAGCGGAAGAAAAAAATGGCGCAGGACGAATCCGCGCACGACGAAGAAAATCGAGACTGGTGGAGTAGATACTTCGCGTCTGTCGAGCACACACTAAAGGTAAGCTATTTGAGGTGTTTTCAGACAACCGTATACGAAAAAAAAAACAAAACAAACATCAATGAAACATTTTGCGGAAAAATTGTTATCAATTGTAAAGCTTCTCGTTAGTTTTCAATCGTAACTTAACATGCTATCTTTGATAAGCAAACTATGAGTGTTTAAGCTTTTTTTTTAGTCCACACCAATGTTTAAAGAATGGGCTAGTTTCCGGCTATTAAAATATTTTTCTTCCTTTGTAAAACGCAGCAAGAATAGGCACCTCTTATGAAAGGAAACTAAAAACTAACTATTTTACCAAGTATTTGTTTAAACTATTGTTTGCTATAAGAGCAGGATGTTAGTCTTTTCTTCTTCAACACTGTAAACTATTTTTACGTACCGGTACCAGGAGGACAGGAGTTACGAAAAAGAAAGTAATAAATAATTTTATGTAACCTGGCCGTAGGTTTCTAATTTAGAAAAATATGCTTCGCGTGTTTTAGCATTAAAAAAAGTCTTAGTTATTTTATTTGCGCGTAATACTTGCAACCCCCAATAGAGAAAACGCACTTGGTCCATTAAATTATGAACTACTAAACACAAAGGAACTAATGAACACAAGAACACCAACGTGCGTTAAAACAAGTATTTACCACGTATGATCCCGCTTTTGAGTTTAGAAAAAGCACTTTAACAATATTATGTATATTAATTTTTTGAAAGGACTCCAAAGACTCAAATGCCAACCAGGGAGGCCTTCGTGGCATTGAGGAAAATGGTGACCTCATGTCGAATGATGACGGTAAGATTCATCCGGTACAGTCATACCATTGAAAGTTACAGCAATAAGTGTTACAGGAGTCGGCTGAAATTGCTTACCTTGATACATCGATATCTTAATGTGTTTAACCTACTCGCTAAAACGTGGCAAAATTTATCACTTCATTTTTTTTTGCTTCATCGCGTTTTTCCTTTTACTCTGATCCAGGTCACTGTTTTTATTTACCTTTCTGTTTTTTTTTTATGTAGATCTATTTAGTGAGAAATGAAGGCGACCACCCCACGTAGATAATTTTCTTAGTAACACCTTGTACCCAAATACCTCAGTTATTGAGATGCAGTAGAATATATGTTCCAGTTTTCTGAATGTACTATTGAATTTCAGACAGCCAACTGAGTGCCAAAGACGTCCGCAAAATGGAGAAGGAGCTCGAGAGACTTGAGGCAAATCACCTGAAAGAAGGCGGCGAGAAGAAGAGGAAGACGCTACGCGGAGCCACCAGCGCCGTTCGCTTTGCGCACAAACTTTCGCCGAAATTGCAGCGTGTCAAAGCTGCGCAGGAGGGACTGATTAAGGTAGTGTCAGTTTTCGCAGTTCCATTCTCGCTAATTCTTTTACGAATCATTCATTTTCATTTGCTTAAACACATACTTTTGAACGTCATCCCATCAGGGTGAATACCTAAAAACAAAAGACATAATTTAAAAGCACCAAGCGCGCTGTTTAGGATGTTGTGTTCTCTTTTGTTAAGCTACGACAGGACCCATTACAAGCCTGTCAAATGGATGTCGGGTTGTGGCAATGTTACTGGAAGAACAATAATCAGGCACTGTTACATCGCAGTTCTTGTAATAAATATAATAAGCAGTTATTTCGTGATAGTACGGTCGACCTCCAGTTATCACCAATATGTCCTCTTCCCGTTCCCTTCGGACCCTTTTTCCAGCCCTTTTATTTTTGCGTCCTCCTCTTCCGACCGCTAAGAATACTAGAGGCCCATAGTGCTGAAATATTCACTTCTCCCAAAGAGGCCGACACAAGATACGAATTGTACACGAGTGCTGCGTCGGCGTTTGGCTGAGAATCGTGTACAATCAGCGAGAACACGAGTCTGAGCCGAACGTTGACGATGCACTCGTGTTCAATCCGCGACTTCTGTTCGTCTCGTCACAAGACGAACAATATAGTACTATACTACGGCGCCTGGAACGCCTGATGACGTCCTTGTTCTGTCATGTTCTCGCTGGCCGCGATCCTGGCGGCGTCTCATGGTGGTGGTAAATGTGGCAGACGCTTGTTTTGCTGCGGGTTGCTCTCCAGCTTTACAGTCCTCGGAAGCTTCGGCAGCCAGGAGTTTGGACGCCGCGACGACAGCGACACTCGCGTTCGCTTACTGGTTTTCGCCATGCGTTTTTTACGACCAAACGCCAGGATCGCGACATGCGACAGCGTGACATAGGGAGGCTCAAGTGAGGGTGGGTGCAACTCAAAACCTGGAGACCGTTTGCAATCTAATTGCGGCGCCTGAGGGAGAGGATTGGGGAAGAATATGCGCCAATGTTGCCTGCACGAGAGCAGACGCCCGCTCTGTTGCAACTCTGTTGCTCCATGCGCCTTTCCTCCTCTCGCCTCATATTGCAAGCAAGAAAAGCCTTGCCGCAGCCTTTTTCGCTTCCTTCTCTCTCTGGGAATTCTAAACTCCGAGAGGAGAAAGTAGAGTTGCCAGACAAGCAGCAACGTCTAAGATGGCGGAATTAGCCATTTTTCGTGTTAAACAAACACTTAACCTATCAGAACAAAACTGGTGGCTATGGAAAGGTAATCATATATACCTTGCGGAAATCATTCAAGCACGTTGATGGGCTCTTGCGATCTGAGTTAGAAAATAAAACGACCCTTTGCCCCGTAGACTCCCAGCTAAATTTAGCAATTAAATGGCGTCCATATCCCGTGATCCCCGATCTAGCAGTTGCACCCACCTAGAGTTCCTGTATAGCTACCTGCGGTAGCAGAGTTGCGCATTCAGCTTCGGCGCGTGGCCGTAGCGCCGGCTTTCCCGCACGAGCTGGATGCTTTGCTCCTCACGTGACTAAATTTGGCGAATAGCGGCGCCGCGCGCGCCGCCGCGCATGGAAAACAGGAGTGGAGGAAAAGGAGGCGGAAAACAGGGGGACGTACGCCGAGGCAAGAGAAACGTCGGCGAAGCGACCGTAAAGGTGGCTTTCTTGCACGCCACCGGATGCTTTGCTCCTCACGTGATGGATCTCGACGAATAGCGGCGTGGCGGCGCGGGGAAAACAAATGCGCAACTCTGGCTCCCGTAGGGAGCCTATACAGGAACTCTACACCCACCCTCACTTGAGCACCCCTAGCGTGACACTCCGGCTTTTCTGACGTCATTTCTGGCCGCTTGAGGCCACTTTCGATGCATGGGTGGAATAGGACGCTAAACACATCGGTTGGAGACACGTTTGTGGCACCGTAGTGTTACGACCTAGGTATTTAGGAATGGCTGTTGCTGTTAGAGGGGATGGCCGTCCAGAGTTCATGCTTCTTCTTCAAACAATGGACTCTCAATTTTGGTTTCAGAGTGTTAAAAATGAAAGAATGCTAAAAAAAAAAAAATTCTGAGAGCACCAAAGCACTTTTTACGAGTTGTGAATGCGAAAGCATGGATGTCGTTCTTCGCGCCGCGGCCGCGCTGATCCTCTCGGCTTCTCGGCCGTTTCTGCTCCTTTCGGCGGGAGCCACAGCGCCATGGAGTGTGGGGTGGTGTTCCTTAGAACTACGCCGCGCGCGAGCCAATGGGAGGTCATCGATCAGTTCGCTGCTACAGACTACAGGCTCCGCTTCATATGACTGGAGAATTTAGGTGCCGTTTGGCGCGGCTTCAAAAGCTGATAACGCCGTTTCGCTCGATGGAACAATCAATGCGTTTGCATTCAAAAAAAAAAAAAGATAAAAAGCGAGAACTGGACAAAGAACTCGGGATGGTTTCTTCTTTGCTTATGCTTTTTGTTTCATCATTAGAGTTCACAAAAAGACATCCTTGTAAAATTGTTACAAAACGCCCTTGTATCGCTTGGATTTTTTTTGCGCTTTCTGTCCTAGATCTATTCTACGGAGTTGGAGAACGTGCCCGAGTTCAACGGTTTCCGCGAATGGCTGCACACCTTCGAGCTTTATCGGGGAAAGAGGAGCGGGGACGATCTGGACGATCAGAGTCGGGTCGTTGGACTCTTCAAGGTACGCCTTTTGACCCTCACTCCTTTATTATACGTGACGCGGCTCCGGAAGGAGCCAACTTGTTTCAGAATATATTTGTTTCCATTATAAAATCCCCGTTTATGGCTCTTCTGCCTTGCGAAAGTAATATTTAAAATACTAGCTCATGAAATTTTAAATAGAACTCCATAGAGGTGGTAAATAAGCGAAAAAGAAGAACGCTGAAAAGGAAAAAAAAAAAAAACGCTTCCGCTCACATGCTTGGAATTATACAAATTAAGGAAATTCGTCGTTCTTATGAAACCTTTCTTTGCATACAATTTTAAACACAGACTAAGTCAACAAAGGCACCAGAGACACTACTCCAATAACGGGCAGCCTTTGAGAAAATACTACGTTCTCTCAGATTTAATAAACGTTCCCTAGAACTACACGAGTTACACTCTTGGACAGAGGTAAAAGATAAATCGAAAGAGGGGTGCTGGTGTTTGAACTGCGAAGTATTGCCAAACACAATTTCCTTTTTTCTAGTTTTTGTTTTCGTTAGTGATATTGTATCTATTGGTTCGAAATAATTTGAGCATGGTTGTGGATGCCATGGTCCCGCGCTAAAGCGCTCGAGAACCTATAAGACCATTAAAACAATTATTAGCAAATTATTATATAATAAAATATTTTATCACATTTAACGCGTAATGTACAAACCAGGGTTCCTTGCAAGTCTACAAGTTCCCACTACCGAAGGACATCCAAGAGCACACGATCACGGGAGCCGACCCTCAGTACGGCCTCTTTCAAGGACTCCCGAGCAATGATCCCATTCATGTCCTTATCAGGGTTTATGTTGTGAAGGTAACTGCACCCTCATACCTTCTCACTGCATGCGCCTTGCTCCTTTTCGGATATGGGTTGTAAAACATTTTTTTGTTTTATCTAAGCACGTAAGGCTTCACGCATTCCTACACTATATACAAAAAACAGGACTATCCGAACAAAATATGGATGTATGGTTCAATATACTATTACGGCTGATAACGTATTGGTAGTATAGATGACCTCATTTGATATAAGTGGGCAAACAGCGAAGAAACTGAAGCCAGAAGAAATACATTATTCATTAAAAAAAATGTCTTCATGAATCCTTCAAACTCTCCAAAAATCGTCTACTAGGGCTTCAATCGAAATCGCAAATAGACATGACTCCCGCACTCCCCTCCACCCCTCCCCCCAACTAATGATGACCGTCCGGCCTCTGGCTGTGACAACCACGCTAGTATTTCCTTTTCGCGAGACTTCTCTCTCTCTCTCTTTACAACATCATACCTGACTCAAAACAAATAACGCAAGTAGTGCAAGATACCTTGTTTAAAGAACAGCTAAATGTAAAATGACGTGGCGATCTGAGGCCTAGAAACGCATTCAGAAGGGTTAAGAGATATTTTTGCCTATCTCCCGCGTTCTTTGTTTTCTTTTCAAGCATTTTATTTGGTTGCCTAGGCTTTACGGATTTGGTGGTTCTGAAACTTTTGTACAGGCCACCGACCTGCATCCGGCTGACATGAACGGAAAGGCAGACCCTTACATCGTAATAAACCTCGGCAGCAAGCGCAACAGTGACAAGGAAAACTATATTTCGAAACAACTCAACCCCGTGTTTGGAAAGTACGTACATTTTTCGTCACCAGCAACCGCGAACATCTTTGAATGACGATCTGCCTTTGTGAATAAGTTCGTATACCTAAGCGATGTGTCTTGTGTAGGAACGTTAAAGGTGGACCTACGTATTTTAGACTTATAAACGAAAGCGAAACTTAAGGAATAATTAAAACATATCGGGTTTTCGACATCGTTTGTTCAAGAGGCCTTGTAGGTTTACCTTTATTTTTTTCCGAAATATTCTATGTCTGGTCACAATTCACAAGCATAAAATTGTTTGACGTGACGAGATTGCTATACTAATTACAGGTACGGTACCGTTTAAAACCGTGAGGACGCAAAACTAACAAACACTACTTGCTACCAGATTAGTTGTGATTTTGTTGCGCCTTTTCTGCTAGAGTTTCAAGTCAAAGTACGGGTTAAATACAACTCTAATTACCGGTTCAATAAGTAGTTATCTAGAGATACCGCGATTGTTTGTGTGAAATATAAATGCTGTGATTATACATGCTAGACCGACCTATGCTTTGCTTTTTAAACCAAACTTGAACCGCGAACTGCTTTCAAACAGTGCTCAGCATGAACATTTTTTTTTTGACGGTTGACCCCTAAATGCAAGACAAATACTAATGCAATTTGCTGACATTTGAGGACGAAACTACGGGAAAACGCCTAAAGACCGGGTGGTACTTATAATATGCCTAGTCATAAAATAAGCATAAAAAGGTGGGCAGGCAGCTGGCATTAGTCTTACGGAGATAAATATAAACATAACAGGCGTATTATCCTCGATACTGCTAAAAATTGTTAGTTCTAGCACAGAGTAAAACAAGAGCAACTTAGTAGTGGGCTAGCTTAGAATAAGATAGCTTATAGCCTTGTACTGCCTTACCCTGGCAAGGGTATTCATGAAGGGGCTCCTGCTGTCTCAGGTGCTTTGAGATGGAAGCCACGTTCCCCCAGGACTCGCTTCTGAACGTTCAAATTTACGACTGGGATCTCCTGGGCAGCGACGACCTGATCGGGGAAACCAAGATCGACCTGGAGAACCGCTTCTACAGCAGGCACAGGGCCACCTGCGGAATACCCCAGAAGTATGAGACGTGAGTGCCTTCCTTCTGCACACTGCACCGTCGACGGTCTGAGTCATAGTTTGCTTGCAAGTACTTCAGCACTCTAAAAAAAATCCGTGGCTTTTTGTCATAGCGGAAGAAGAAGTGGCAGCGATAGCTGCAATCGCATAAAGCAGCACCCACTTTTATGAATGTAAACTCTTTATATATTTGATCACTCAGAGCACAGCCTCGTGGTCACTAAAGTTTGCAAGAAAGGGAGCACACTGAACAGATGACGCGGCGTCTCAGTAGGTACCGTCACAAGTGGTGGGTTGTTTTACATCTGGTAGTATTCGGCACCTGTGTTCTACGGTATTGAATGTGTGGCGGCGTCAGCAGCCAAACGTAGAAGACACTGCCGCCTAGCGAGAGCCAAATGCGCGAGCGTTGCCTGACGTCACGGAGTGGCGAAACGCCCGACGCCTCGAATGCAGCTGCGAATTCCCCGTAACAGCAATCTGCCCGGTTGTCTACGTACGCTCCTGCTGGTGACTCGGAGAGCTAATCACTGCGACCAGCGAAGAGGACTTGAAGTATGACGAGGACGAACATATATTTGAGCTTAGAAATTAAGTTTGAGAAGTGACACTGAGCACGATGTGTGAGCACGTGACACATGTCATGCGCAATGTAATTTCGAGTCCCTTATTCTTAAGACTACACATATGCTTTCAGCTTCATCGTCAGTTAAGCTTCCTCCGCAGTACTGATTAGTCGACGATCCTCTGTTATAGATTAAAGGAAACTGAGACTAGCAAAACATGACATAGACATGCTAATTCGACCAAAGGTATACTTAAGAGTTGCATATAATCTCGGTCAAAATTACATGTATACGGTTTTGAGCGTGAAGAGATGATAAACTGCTCTCCGCTGCGCACACATTTTTTTAGTCTTACTTCGTTAAGTTAGCCTTTGAATTCATGCGCATGGTAACTCGAAACGCTAGTATCATATCATTTTATTGTCCCTGCCACATGGAGTCACATCACTGTGCACCAGAGTCCTCTGTTTTGTCAGCAGTCGACCTGGTCGTATGGCTGTACTTAGTGACGTCACTGATGATGTCCAACTTTGGCAGGTATGGTCCAAACCAATGGCGGGATCCTCTCAGGCCAATACAAGTCCTGGCTAAACTGTGCCGAGATACGAAGCTCGATGGGCCACACTTCGCACCCAACAGGGTTCGCGTCGGCAACAAGACCTTCACTTTTCGGTCTGACATGGAAGAAGAGGGTCAGTACTCTTATCTGACTATTTTCGTTCATCTTGACGCGGTTGTGCAAGCAAAAGATGCTTGAACCAGCCATCCATAGTCCCACCCGTGTGCAATAGCGAAACACTTTAAGATAAACGTTGGTGCAATCATTGTTCTGAACATACACAAATCCGTAATTTGTGACTCCCAAATAACTGCAGCACGCATCACTAAAACGAACTTAGGTCATTCTTACTCAGCACCTAACGTTTCTGTTCGCCAAGGCTTTCATGTTTATTGCGCCACCGCGAAACATATTAAAATGACTTAATTTTTTATGCCTAAAAGCACGCACTCAAACATTGCACTGAACGCGTACAGAAACACAATTGTTGCCGGAATTACAGCCACTTTCGGATTTTTCTTTTTTTTTTTTTTAGATAGCAAACTGAGCGACGAGCATCAAAGCCTCGCTGTCCTCAACCGCTGGGAAGAGGTGCCCAAAGTCGGGTGTCCTCTCGTGCCCGAACACGTTGAAACTCGGGCCCTGTATCACCCTGACAAGCCTGGTATTGAACAGGTGACTCTTACCACTTCTATTGCTCTCTTACTCTACGGAACCAACTCTTTGCATGCTGTTTGTGCTTTAAAGCGCCGTAGGTACGTAGCCTGATTAATCTACGTACTCCAAAACTTTACATATTTATTATCGCGAATTAGCTTTACTTTTTGGAAACGTTATGTTGGAAATTTTCTTTACAAGTTCTGACGAAGGCTATTACGCGTAAGGAACCTAACCGCGTCGCAAATCCGTACGCGACTGCCAATCAATTATAGTGTTTCCAGTGACAAGGGTTGGCAGCAGTTTATTGATTTTTATTGTTTTGTGTACATTAAACATAAGTTAAAATACTATAGCAATGCATTCACAATGACATAAAAGCGTACTAAAAAGACTCGCTGGACGTGTTAGGATAAATTTGTGAACGAACGTTTTAAGCGCAATGCTAAAAAAGGCAGGAACACGAACTCACGTCCTTAAATACACATTTTACATGGAAAGTCAAGCAGACGCATAATATGCAGTCTGCTTATGAAGCTTACACGACCATTGTTTACTACTGGCATCCCTTGGGTAACCACCTTGATAATATAATCAAACGAGAAAAGCTACCGTGCCGAACTTTTGGATAAGTTACCGTTCAGGCGAAATCGGAGCTATCTACTTTCTAGTCCGGATTACACCTTAAAACGTTTCTTAACAGAAGACGGGCTCACCGAAGGAAACTTCACAGCACGATAGAGATGATTCAATTTAAGAGGGTTAAAACAAATATTTCACGCGATATAGCATATCAGGATTATAGCCTTCAAAGCTTTATTGTCTTGCTTCTCTCTTACGCGCATCCACTGACTCGCTTTACTAAGTCAATATTTTCTCTATTTAACTGATAATATATCACTTTCTGGTTGTAGGGAAAATTAGAGATGTGGGTCGACATGTTTCCAATGGACATGCCCCTCCCTGGCCCTCCAGTAGACATATCTCCCAGGAAGCCAAAGAGGTTAGGATCTGCGATCTCATTGGAAATTTCGCTATAAGTTGTATGGTGCAAACAGCCGGCGCATATAGGTTTTTTTGATTTATTACTCCATTTTTATGAATACAAATTCAATGTGATTTAACAGGAATCTTTTGAGTTAAAAGCGAATTGACCTAATATTCGAAGGTTAAGTAAGCGGACGGTTAATTTGACTCTATTCAAACTCACCATAGCTTTAAAATTATAAAAAAAAAAGTCTCAGAGGTTGCAATAGAAAATCATAACTATATAAAATTAAAATAGAACGATAATAACAACTGAATTGCCAATAATAATAATGGCTAACAAGCCATGAATTGTATGTTATTTATCCTCTTTGCTGAATCTATTCCTAACATGTGCATATTTTGTGCTTTTGAAGCTATGAACTACGAGTAATCATCTGGAACACCGACGACGTTGTTCTTGAAGACGATGCCTTTTTCACGGGTGAAAAAATGAGCGATATTTATGTGAAGGGGTGAGTAACAATTTACTTTTGCAGTTTGACATTACAAATCATGTGTCTCACGCTTTTTAGTTCTATCGTTTAGAAAAAAATACTTAGGTTATAAAATATTTCATATGGTAAAATATCGGATTCAAACCTTGGTCACTCAGAAATAAAGAAAAAAAAAAACATATTTGGCTGATGTGCGTTCTGTTTTTCTCAGTTAAACTCTTCATCTTTTTTTGAATTTGTGATTAAGCACAAATAATTGATGTTTCGGTTAGGGCCATCAGGGAAAATCGTTAAAAAGCTGAATGTAATCCGATCATAATAGGCACAAACTGATAGATACCGGGGAAGAAGTCTGAATCAAAAACTACATAAACAATCTTGCTGTTTCTAACTTCGACTGTTCTCGTATTATTTAGAGGGAGTAAATATGGTGCAGAACACAGCATGCTGTAAGGTTATTATTGAACTTCCCTTTTTGTTTCAGTTGGCTCAAGGGTCAAGAAGACACCCAATGCACCGATATACACTACAGGCAAGCCGCTTTCGATTACTGGGATCTAAATATTCTAACATATACGACCGCCTATATCTTTTTATAGAACGTTCTGGCACATGCTTTCACCGAAATATTCTTAGTCTATCGCGTTTTTTAGGGGCGAAGCTCCTTAGGGTCTAGCCTTGTCCGTCCGTCCGTCCCTGCTCACATAAAAAGAAAAAAATGTTTGCGCAGTTGACAGGATTCGAGCCTGTCCGGGGAGACCCCAAATGGATTTCTAGCCCATCGTCCTAACCACTCGGCCACGTCTGCGTGACGAGTAGGGGGCTCTGAGATGTGGTAGTAACTCAAGAGCTGGGGTTTCTGTCATGGATGAAACGTTGCATGTAACCGCTCAACCTTTAAATATGAGAGGGCGCTGCGGTCAAATGCGTATGTAATCGCGTTAAACTTTGCATCCATTGGCTCAACGTTTATAGACGAGAGGGCGGTGCGGTCAAATGATCAAATGCGTGTATAACCACGTTCCATACCACACATTCTCTTTCTGACATGGACCGTTGACTTAAGCGGTGGAGATGCGCTCCCACGGCTTCTAGCGGATCCAAGCTCATCCGCTAGAAGAACCACTGGCTCTGCATTAAACCGACCATAAAGCGGTAATAATGAAGTCGAAACGCAACCCGGAACTCAGCATTACCTATGAACAATACAACAAAATCAGCACCATCAGCACTACCTATGAACAATAAAATCAGTATCATCAGCACCACCAGAGCTTCGCCCCAATCAACATCATTCACCACGTGGAGATGCGGTCATTTTATTTAAATTATTCGTTTAGGCGGAAAATATTAGAATGCTTTAGTAGATCGTTCCGTCACTTCTGCTACGCTATAAGCAATCCGCTACGACCTCCGCTATCTGTGGCGTAGCGGAACCACCGTTTTAGTAGAACGTTCGCAACCTTCTACAGATTACAGCATTACCAGAGCTAACGCAATATGCCATTAGCGGCTCTTTCAGACACTAAGACTCGGGTATAACAAGTATTTCTAAGACAAATATTTGAAATATGTCTTTATTAATGTATTGATTTTATTTGAATGTATTTCTTTTATTGAATAAGGTGCTAACCTTTGCTTGTTCCCTTTTAAGTAAATGACAATTACGTTTGTAATTAAATACAACTGACGGCCAAGCTGTCCAAGCCAATCCGATATGAATCAAGCGCAAAAGCCACCGACCGAAAACTTCAATAATAACTAACAACCTTAGCTCCTCTGTTGTGTCGTTGTTCACCGAAAATGAAAAGACACGGAAATCCCTAAGGTCCGCCTCCTCGCTCCCTTCCTTGTTTGGTTCTTTCCTCACGGCAAAATTGACCGAGCAGAAAGCCGGACCCTCCGCTCTCAGCATCACAGATTGCGAAGCTTTTCTTTTTCTTTTTTTTCCGTGGCCGTATTTAGCTTGTCCGCCTTTTGTAGTCCTGGAACGGCTTTGTCGAGGCTATTTCTCGTAGCTACAAGACATAATCCGCCTCTCAGAATCACGATAACCACGATCTCGAAGCGGACAGACCGGACAGGCGCGGAGTTGCGGCCATCTTGAATTGCTTCCCTCGCTGGCTCTCCCTGATCTCATCAAGACTCGTTCTCGCGAGACTCACGCTGGCAGGCCTGGTACTCTCCTCGCTATTTTCGTCCAATAGCGCGCCTCCGCTGGCTTCCGCAGCTCCACGATCTTTCCGCTAGCAGCGCGCATGCTCAGTAGCGTCGTCACTGCAGCGCATAGCCGTAGCGGGAGAACCAAAATGATCTAAAAAAACTCTCTATTGATGTGTATGCGAATGCTGTGCATACAGTCGCACCTGGCTTCCTACACAAACACAAGGGTGGTCGCTATCCTCTAACCTTTGGATGGAGCGCCTATTTCATATTAACGTATTTCATAAAGGCTGTTTCACAGATATGCGTTTGGTTGCAACCGAATAGGGTGTGCAACATTGTGCTTTTTTGTGATCGGTTGCAATGAGTGGACATATTGGTGATATATCTACGGAGTAGCTCTGGGACGCTTACACTCTAAAAGAGGGTGTAGTCTTACACCCTTTTGGTCCCATATAATACACCCAAAACCAGCTTGACGGACAGCGCACTGATGTCGATCTTATAGCCCCAAACCTTTACAAGGGACGACGGTGCGATATAACTTATTGAACTGCTAAACTACTATCAAAGACATAACAAAACAAAAATTCCGAGCGTTTGCAGTAAACTCAAGAAAACCCCGGTAATTGTTTTTTGTCATTAACACGCACATTAGTTGTTTTAATAAGTAGTACCACTTGGACTATCAAGCCGGTCGTGAAAGTTGGTACGTAGGTTTGACGTGAGTGCGCCCGTACGTCGAGCTGATATTTTGGGGTATATTATATGGGGCAGGGGGTGTAAGACTATAACCTCTTTTTTTTTCTGAGAGTGTGCGATTTCCATAGATTTCCTAAATTTGGTTGCGCATCATCTTTTCATCACCATGGGATTGAAACCCTCTTGACAATATTAAAAATGACCATTTCTTACAGGTAAAACGTACATTTGCTTTCTCAAAATCCGCAAGACCCTGACTCTACTTAAATGTAGTTCCAGGACTGCCTCGTAGATGGCACCAGCGTACCAGTGTGTTCTCTCGTCGTAGTGAGGACAAAGCAGCACAGCGCACTCAGTTGCAACCAAACGCAAGCATGTGATCTAGCCATAATGATATCCTTAAAGGGCAACTCCGCTTAATTTCAAAAATTTTGAGATAGTGGCCGATTTTGCTTTTTGAAGCACTCAAAAACAATCCCCAATCTTTTGTTTCGCGAAAAATAAAATATTTTTCGTGTAATTTTACTTTAGCCATGATTACAAACCGAAACCGAAACGGTGGCAAAGCCGGACAACATTGTATATTCGGCATCACTGAGCATGTACACCCACGTGATATACAAGGGAAGAAGGAGCTCCCCTCTTATCAGGATCCCCCTTTGTGCCTCCTAGATTAGCACAGGCGTCGCTATTCTCCTCCCAGAAGATTATAGAAGATTAACCTGTCACTCAAAATTCTTACAAAAACAGCTTCCCTCTCCTCCTTTTACTTGGTGTTCAAAAGCATGGGATGTAACACAGGCCGCGCTCAACGAGGCGATCGGCGTATCAGTAGTATCAATAGTCGAGCGCCGGGCCGGCCGAGCGCGTCACTCACGTCTTTCACGGCGCTAACGCCACCCGTGCTCTCCAAAAAAAAAAAAAAAAAAAAAAAAAGGAAGAAGAAGTTGTACATGCTTGATGACGTCGCGGACGTGCCGGGAGAAGGAATTTGGAGGAAGCGGAAATGCAGCCGGGCAGTGTTGTCTGGCCCGCACGTCTTATCCAAAACCAGCGGATTCGTGCTTGTCAAACTTTGACAGCGATTTTAATGAACTTCTAGGCGGAATTCCGTCGTAATATTTGCCAGGGGGGTTTTGTAGATGATAACAAAGAGAACTGTATAGTTTTGCACTACTGGAAAAGAAGCGGAGTTGCCCTTTAAGGACAACTTCCTAAATGTCACCGCGCCTGATAAGTGGAGTCTAATCTACGTTGTACGTATGCCCGAGAAGTCCCTTTCCAATAATGCTGCGATTAGAATTCGCAGAGCTTTCTGACAGAGATTGCCCATACGTGTTCAGGTCCCTGACTGGCGAAGGCAACTTCAACTGGCGTTTCCTGTTTCCTTTTGACTACCTGCCGGCCGAAGAGAAGATTGTCATCTCACGCAAGGAGTCCCTTTTTTCTTGGGACGAGACCGAGTGCAAGATCCCAGCCCGACTAGAGCTGCAGGTCTGGGATGCAGATCATTTTTCGGCGGACGACTTTCTGGGTACGTGCTTCATTCTTCTACAAAAAAACAAGAAAAACCCCACTGCAGCATGTTTGCAGCGCCGCTAGTTTTTAACGGAGCAACGCTCTTCTAGCTAAACAATAAGTGGGTGTAAAGTTTCATGCAGTTACTTAAACAGTTTGCTAGCTTTAGGTGTAATACGACTATGTTTATTATGAGATATGATCCCCGTCATGTCATCCTCTCATTGGCCAGAACCTATGACATGAATTTATGTCGATGAACTGGGGGTCATTTAATGTTTAATAATTGGACAAAAAAAAAACTCAGTCAATCTTGGAGGTGAGGCAGAAGCTTGATATTTTTTTATTTGGGTAGTTTCGCCAGTTGAGTACGAGTGCTAACTAGGGTCCTTTGACGTGCACCACGCAGTAGCGATTACACGACTGCACGCCGGTACGGTTTTTATCTAGATCGAAACAAGTCAGGATGGAAATTAAACACGCATTCTGCAGGTTTTGTTGCGCGAGATTTTGTTCTACTTGGAGTCAAAACACCAGCTGCAGTTTCCACTCCAGCTGGAGCGCGCTATCAGAATCGGCTTCCGCCCGAAGTTAATTTAACAATAAAAAAAAAAATGCACTCCCTAGCCTATACCTGAATCTGACAGGCGGATATATTCATATTTGTTAATATACTCTTGATAACCACTGACATGTTTCAATAATGTTTTAAAATTAGGTTGGACGCTTTAGCAGAAAACTCCAACATAAAAAACGACCGCATGATTCAGAGACTCTCTCCGACATAGTCGAATTAGATTCGTCTCTCAAGTATTTGCCTTTCTGACTTTTTAACTGATATTCTGTTTTAAGTAAAAAAAATCTGCAAAACTAGTTTTAATAATTTGCAATAAACACATATTAAAAGTTTATATACAAAGTAAATGAAATTTTTTGTTACTGCTGTATTTGGAAGTCAAATATTTTTTACGTGGCCATTGGCGTTAACCCTTTATTTGATTTTTAACGAGACTTTTGCTCTTCGCTTTTTTTTTCGCATTTAGCACCAGAATGATTGCCCTCTGTGGATCTACAATAAAAAAAGAACTGGTGAAAAATAAAAACTATCTTATTTTTATGGGGAAGTGGAAACACGTTTCGGTACGAGTATTGTTGCATTCAGATAAGGACCCGTAATGGGTGGCAATAAGACTAACTTGCTATAAACATCGTGTAAGATTACGAATTTGTTTGTTGCCGGAGTGATCCTTCGTTTAACATAATCAGCTCTCACTTTCTCAAGAAGCGCAAGGAAAACGCCGAACGTTATTCTTCACCAGGTGCCATCACCTTGGACCTGAACCGCTTTCCTCGGGGAGCCAAGTCGTCCAAGCTATGCAGTCTGGACATGCTCAGGGCAGAGGCCAATGTCCCAACCGTGTCCCTCTTCAAGCAGCGACGGGTCAAGGGCTGGTGGCCCTTCTTCGTCAAGAAAGATAACGATGAGATGGAACTCACGGTACTTGCGCGCCCTTCATTCTTTCGGGTCGTAAAACGGGTTTCGTGTTTTCGGGATTCATTTTTTTTTTTCCCGTCTTCGAAATCGGGAATGTTCTTTCGGGGTAAATACTTTTTTTTTCTTCACAGATTCGGTGTTTTCTGGGGTTAATATTTGGTCGATGAAAAATTGGGGTTCATAGGGACATTAACTTGAAGAAAATAAGACACGGACATTGAATTCATGAGGTTCAAGACAAGATAATCGTGACCTGAACACTTAAAGTCATTCCTGTACCGATGAAAAAGATGAAGCGAGATAAGACGTGTGGTTACGAAGCAAGAAGAAACCTCGCGGACTGTTCGTTTCGTCGACAGCTTCAGTTCGAAGGTTTTCGCTTTTACCCGATTTTGTTAAAACCGACTGATGCGTTAATGTTAAATGTTTATTGGTATTCAAAAAAAAAAAAAAACTTTCAGCATTTTTATTTTGGTAAAGAAGGAAGACCAGCGAAGCTGTACTAATGGCCGTCCGCAAGTCGGCAAGTCAGTCTGGAAAGGCTGGAAAGGTTGCCGCAATCTATGAGTGACGGCGGCAAGCAGACAGCCGGCAAACACAACACACTGGACAACTACCGCCATCTATGAGCGACGGCGGCAATCAAAGTGTTCTCCCGACATTTCTTTGGTACCGCACACGAGCCTGGGGAAACAAGCCCTTAACAGCTCCGCTGTAAAAAAAAAAAAAAAAAGAAAACCAGCAGCCCAGAACTGTAGCTGCTTGCGTTGCAAGGAATCCTGCCGTCTTTAGGTTTAGGTTTGTCTAAACTATGTTTCGACAAAAAGAAAACTGCCTGCACTGGTACATTGATATGACGTAAGCAAGTGAAGCATCATGATGTAGTGTCACTGCGAAAACGTTTTTTTTTTTCTAGGTATATAAACATATTCTTAGCCTTGTCCAGAGATGCGGGTTGTAGTGGGTCACTGACAATTTAAGGGAGCCATGAAACGATTTTTTCTACTTTCGTAAAAACTGTCTAGAATAACACTCTAACGTTAATAACTTAACAAACTAGCCTTCATTTTTCTTTCTAGGCAATTGCAGTCGCCAAAAAAATTCTAAAATGTATGAGCATTGTTGATACCCTCAATTTGCAGTCAGAACAAGCGGCCAGTGGCCTGGTGCCTATCCTATTCCTATGCCTCCAACGTTAATCATAGCCACGCTCTGGGGTCGACAAAGTAAAAAAAAAAAAAAACGCGTTCTGAGCACCGGGCATTGTTAGAGTTTGGCTATTCTCATCACCGTAGCGGTTGGGCACGAGCCACTACCTGAGTGTCAGCCGAGGCATTGATTGTTACGAGTCGAAGTCGAGCACTCACGAAGTTTTCGTGTGATGTCCATGATCCGAGCTCGACTGTCGTCAGGAAGGTTGTTTCGATCCCACAATTACGTCATAAAACTTAACGAAGGCTAAATAGACCCGCATTATCTTCGCAATTTCACCACGACATAAAGGCTTCTTACTTAGTGCTGGTCTGTGCGAGCATACTTGGGCTAGACTAGGGCCAGTACGCCTCTACAAAGTCATGAACATTCCACCTTGACATCGTTTCAGGACACTTTTAAGAAACGCAGGGCAGGGTTTTGCGTTTATTGAGATGTCAGTCTTGCCTGCCGGAAAATAAGGTGGCGTTTTCCCACTTCTCTCTTCGTTCTTCAGGGCAAAGTGGAGGCGGAGCTCCACCTGCTGACAAGGGACGAAGCAGAAAGAAATCCCGCTGGACTTGGACGAAGCGAACCCGATCCTTTGGACAAGCCAAAGTAAGAAGGCCAAAATCAGGCGTAGGACACTGTACTTCGTTTCACGATAGCTTGGCGAACTGTGAAGGCTACGTTCCCTCGCGACTCATAAAGAGCGTCGGAGCGAGGAACGTGACACCACGTCACGGGAGCGTTTGTGTCACTGCGCGAAATGCGAGGCCCGGAAGAACCGGCTTTCCTCTGCTGGCCATGAGTCGTCTGCTGCGAACCCAAGCAACTTCGGGTGAACGTCCACCGGCGAAACATTGCCGTCCGCTAGAGTAGCGAGCTTTTCGGGAAGAGTTCATCAGAGAACCATACGCCCAATTTAGACCGCGAATCTGTGGCGGGTGCTAATGAGAAGTGCGAAGTTTTGAGCGAAAGCGGTTGATTACAGAGCTGTGATCCTTCAAACGCAGTTCAAAACTTAAAAGCCATGCATTGTTATCGACAAAGGGTTGGTCCGAATTAAGTATGGTTAAAAAGTAATATATCTTCGTCTTCCTTCCGAGCCGTGTAGCGTAGTGTCTATAGAGATGCAATCGCGCGAGTTATATTGCCGTTAACAAAACACCAAAACAAAAAGAAGCCTGGAACTACTTTTTCTCGCGGACAGCGCTTTTGCTCTGGCGGTAACGCAGTCTCCGTGGCATCGACCATGGAGTGTTGTCACGTGCCTTGCTCCGACGCCCTCTTTGGGCCGCGGGGTGCCGCAGCCTCCATATTTCGCCAAGTTATTCTGAAAAGGAGCACAGACTCGTTATACGCAAAGTTGGTGCTGAAAGTTTCGCCAATCGGACTTCGGCGAAAAAAAACGCGTCGTCGTCGTCGTCGTCCTCGCAAGACTCCAATCTGCGCGCTCCTTAAACTCTGGCGCCACAACCTTGTTTTCGAGAAGTCAAGGGCTAATATACTCTATTTCACTTTCGGTCCGACCATAACCGCCCGCTACGCTCTGAGGGAACCACTCATCAGCGCCAAAAGTGTAACGCCATGACACTCATTGCATTGGCGCAATTGTTATCACCTGCCAAACAAAAGTCGCACAGGGAATGTTCCACGAGGCTTCTCTTTTTTCTGGTGTGTGATTTGTTTAGCCGGTAAAAGAAACTGACAAAAAAAACACAAGGGCCGTGACGATGCACTTTTGGTACTCCTTGGTTGGCTTCTTTGGACCGCAACGTCGGCTGCGGTCATACTTGAAGTGAAACTGAGTATTATCGCTGGGGTGTATAGGCGTTTTGTGGGGAAAGACATTAGCTAAGTACCAAAGGTGTACTAAAAAGAGCCATGGGACACAGGTATATTTAATAGGGTGATTTAGCAGATCGTTTCTATGACCCTAATAACGATACCCGACTCTCCACCGATGCCTTTGCGCATGCATCTGATCGTAATCGGGTATAGTTATCGTAGGTATTGGAACGATCTTCTAATGCTCCCTAATGGCCTGTAGAGATATACTGTTACGCACAAACTGTGATGCACAATTATCTTGTTTAAAGGTAAACATTTTCGCCGAATGTCCTAGTTCTGGCCATAATTTTATTGTAAAAGGGATCTTGCAGAATTGAACGGACAGGTATACTGCTGGTTGCAATGCATATGAATTTGAGAGGCGCGTAGCCGACTTTATCAGCTAACCGTATTTAAATTAATGAATCAGAAACAAAAATACCACTTGTGTCCTTGCGGTGGGCATAACAAATCGCCGTGAAGTTCAACGCGAGGGACTGAGATATTCAAAGCAGGTGTGATTAACTGAGCATCTTTTGTTTACTTTGATAAAAAAATATCCTGAAAGGTTGAGAGTGGCAGCTGATTTCTTATTGAAAGATGTAGCGTTTTGAAAATTTTGTTGGAATGATTGTCCAAGGAATAACGACATCTACAGGGAAACACCTTGTTTTTATTATTTCGATGCACCGCCATACTCTATTTCTTCTTTCGGGAAGCATGATAACTTTGCATCGGTAAGTCATACGCATCGTCAACATCTCGAAGAGTGCAAAGATATAAAACACGACGTAGTATAAACCGGATCAATATTTCTCCCTCTATCTCGCAGTCGACCAGACTCGTCTTTCATCTGGTTCCTGAACCCGCTCAAGTCAATCCGCTACATCGTGTGGCACCAGTACAAGTGGGCCATCATCAAGACGCTCATCGCCATTATGCTCATCCTCTTACTATGCCTTTTCTTCTACTCCGTGCCGGGGTACACCGTTAAAAAGATCCTCGGCGCTTGAAGTCACCGTCCTCCGAACTCTTTTCCGTGTCACCCTTTCATTATTTCCTCCTTCCACAATTTCACCTGAAGTGCACCAGCGGCCCCGTCACATTTTTCTTGACCTCTGTTCTGCAAACAGTCCGCGTCGTGGGTGTGGTGCCCTCTGTTTCCCCTGAAAAAAAAAAAGGCGCACAACTTCGATTCTTTGCGAAGCAGAAAATCGAAGCCTCCTCTCCAAAACTCAAAGTGAAGTCGAGAACCGATTATAGAGTCTAATAGAAAATGACAATGGAGATTATGTTCTAGTCTTCGTTTATGGCAGGGGATGAACCAAAGGCTGCTTTTGTAGTATAAATTCCAAGGTAGCACATCGAATGCCGACTTTCCGACAATTATTCAGTAAAAGATAATTAGAGAAAAGAATTGGGTGCTTGTGATTGTTTTCTCCTCTTTTCGTTGTACTTTAATCTCCCCTTGTAGACGTAGCCTGTGAAACGTGCTGTCTACTGGAAGCAGAGGTGATAAAACTAGTGCGCAGGGTTAATGAGAATAAAAGGAGAAAGAAAATTGAAAGGTTTACAGCGCGCGTGTTCCACTTAGTGAGTTTCGGTAACGACAATGAACCTCGGTATAGTGACGCGCGATCGGCAGCGTCATGTGGCACGCTCCTGGCGTGCGATTGAGTGCTGCGACCTGAAACGGCCATGGCTTGCGATGAGGTGGATGGGTTTATTGCATCCTCTGCTCAATGTATTGACAATGTAAAGCTGTCCTTACCTAACTTCTAAGTTTTGTAGAGACGTAGTCCTTCCAGACTAAAAATGCTAATTTCCTCACTAATGCAGCTACCACGCATAAATGAAGCTATGCGACCGAGAACTAGAGACCTTTTAAAATTCAAAATAGCTAATAAAAAAAAAAGAGTAATCTGACATGGCACCATATTAAAACAGGTCATAACAGCAGTTGTGTGACAAATAACAGTGATATTAAAAACCAATTATAAACACAATCTTCTGCCCGTAGTATGAATCAAAATGTTTCGACGGTATTGGCGTCGTTATACAAAACATATCGGCGGATTTCAGTCGTGGTTTAGGTGCAAAAACGCTTTGGCTGATTAACGCCCCGTAAATTACTATATTAAATTCGAAGCCAACTTGAATGAGTTTTCTTTTCAGCAGAAAAAAAAAGAGAGATGGTTAATAACATTAAAACATCAAACCCGTATTTTATTTTTATGGAACGGATATTCGAAGCAACTTTTTTACGCTTTCCAAACCGAAGTTTGTCGAGTTTACACTTATGTGCGTTAGGCTCTCACATATTGTTTGAGGAGCATAGCCTAGGGCATGATAGATTAAGCTCTTTGAGGTTATATATTTAATAACAAGTATTTTCTATAAAACTATTCTGGTTCACCAGGTAATTTAGAGGATTCAACTGACATGAACATTAGATATTTATACCACTGTCGCCTTCTAAGTTTTGGGCTAACTACGCTCAAATTCTGGCTCTAGGCGTAAGTCGGTCTATGTCGGTCTACACACTTATTGACTGCTATTGAATGCAGTTACAGGTAAATTTCGTAAAAGGTTCGCACGTGAATCGCAGGGTTTGAAAATAGTATAGATGTTTCAGGCTGCCTTACTTCTTATGAATAAACACTTTCCTTAATCAAACATAACTAGTACTAAGTGGACGCATGTTGACTGTATATGATCTGATTAGGAACCGTGATTTAAGTTGGTGTCATCAATTTTCATACCCGTAACGACCCAACGCCTCTCAATGCCTCACTGCCTCTTCATAACCTTATTCACCCTCAAACCTTACATATAAGTGCCGTGACTTGAGGTGCCGTCATGAATTGTTTTTCCTGCGGGGTAGTTCAGGGGGCGCGGAAGGTAGATTAGTGTGGCTTTGTCGATTATTGTGGTGCTATGCTTGCAAGTATTTAGTCGATATTCTTAAGTTTTCACGCTGCTGTTGAAAATCTCAGTGTGTCCAACCCCGCTTTTTTTTTGTTTTAAATTTATTGAATAAGTTGCTTTTCAGTGTTTTTTTTTTATTTCATTCTCGGGAGAGGTACACCTTGGGAGAAATCTGAGTATTTTGTCACTAAAAGAAAACTAAAAAAGTACCAAAATGTACTTAATCTTTAAAGGGAATTCCAAACTAGCTATAAACGTTTATAAGTGCGGCAAGTGGAAGCCACCACTTTGCTGATGGTGCGTGCACATTGCCTGATACTTAAGCTCAGCTAGACAATGCCTGAGGTTGCCAGACTTGCGCCCTTTCAGAACGTTTTCTCAGCCCCCGTGGTCAGCATCAAAATGCGTTTTGAAAACAAGAAAAAAAAATTCTCCAGTTTTCATTTAATGAAAATGAAGACAGGAGAATTTGAAAATAATGAGTCCCTTTTTCATAGAAATTGCAGACTATCCTTTTCGAAAGACACTCATTCGGGGACATGAATATAAAATCTAGACAATGTCGTGTCACTCTTCAGTTGTTTATTTTTATTACAAATGTTATTTGTAGCCCAGTTTGTATTATGGGAAGTGGGCGACATGTGACACATATATTACACTCGTGTTATGCTTCTTCTGACCAAAATATATAAATAAATATACAATGTATGTGTATACATAGCATAGAGACAAGAAAGCAAACGTGCTAGTGTTGAAAGTGACGACATGAATAACAGTATTTTTCTTCCCTATAGAGACATATTTTGGATCATGTTTTAAGGCGGAGGTTGTTGTAGAGTGATCTGTAAAAAGTTGTTGAAATGATTTGAAGCTTTCTCCGTGTATAAAATGCTACATATATGAAGGACTGTAGAAATATATCTACCCCAAAGTATACTTGAAGTCAACCTTGTAACTCTAGTCATGCACTGTTCCTGTTCAAACATTTTTTCGAAGCTGTTTTCGTGGAATCACTTGTTTGCGGGTATGTACATATTTAACTTCGAAATTCATTCGTTCACGTTGTATTGTTGATCATTTGTACGACTACCAACAATAGAACCGTACTAGGCAGTTGATCGTACAATATGAAAATATAAGAGAAGCATTAATCCAATCAGACATATGCGCACACTTCAGCTTATATCTGATATCTTGGTTTCCCCGTACCCGTACTTCAAATTTGAAAATCTGTAATATAGTATTGTTAGATATCAAGAGCTATGCATATCTCATCGCAATTATAATTTTATAAGTTGCAGATAAATTGTGTCTTTCTTTTTTTCAAATACGACGTGTTTAATAACATTTAAGACTGTTGTCTGCCAGCCCATATATTCAACATGCCCCTAAGACTACCTGACAATAAACAATCACATGGTATATGTATGTTGTAAATATGCGACCTCACTTTTCAATAATATACATGATAGCTATGTACTGATTTGACACACATTAACCAGCAAGCGAGCTTAAGATGTTTTCTTTTTCCAAAAGAGAGACTGTCCTTGTAAGTTTTATGAAACAAGCTAAAAAAAAACTGTCTCACACTTTATTTTGACTTTCGTATCGGTGAACATGATAGGCTCGTTTTCAAGGCATTATAAACTAGCGTTTGATGTGATAACACGGCTAGTCACCCGTATTTAGTTTCAAGGTTTTAAAAACGATAATATATTGTATACAGATTACTGTCGAAAGCGATATTTCAACTGTACCCACAACTGTTGAATACAGAGTGGCATCAAATATACGTTTAACGAGTGTAAAACCGAGTAAAATTATGTGTGATAAAGGTTCCTATATTTTGATACTAACGCCAATAAATAAAATTGTTATATTTACAGAGCGCTAGGTAGTACGCACGTACCCTTTTTCGAACCTGTATTTTAAGTGTTTTTGAATAAATCCTCCATGCCGTGATACTTTGTACGCAGTTGATTTATTAGGGAAACAACAGTCGGTATGACTGAAGGTACAGAAAACAGTGTTTGTTTTAACTTTACGCGTGCGGTAATGTTACCAACATGTCGACGTTACGGCGGCGTCCTGAACGCGACCTTAGCCTCGACAAGACCTAAATGAGAAATAAGGATTGCGATGCAAGTAATATTTAAGCAGAGAATTAAAGCGATGGTGAACTGCCTTCACATAGGTATAAATGAAGTGTCGACTGGTGTAGGCAAGATTACGACACGAGGAATTAGTCTCAACTGAGGGTTGTAGTACACGCCCAAACTTAAAGGGCCATTTCAACTCGCCAGTGCGGCGACGAATTTTTTTATCTTTTAGTAGAAGTCGCAAACAGCGGGAAGGTAAGATGTTGCATCCTCGGTTTCGTATAATAGAATCACAAAGAGTGCAAAGCGTGGTGAGTCCCAGTTGATGATGTTGAGGCCTTGGTCAACTAGAGTACTGATCATGGAAGCCGGAAGCAATAACCGTGAATATCATGTTTTATATTCACAATTCTTACTCTTCTGGCCACGGACGGAGATCCTTTCAGTACCCGAGCAAGTTTTGGCGGCTCCTCTTTTGGAGAAGTTAAGCCAAACTCTCTCGGAGATCGAATTATTCCGTTGGGTTCATCACACCTCGTTGTGAGGACGCGAATGGACCGATGGAGTATCTTGGCCGCATGCCAAAAGTGGAGGAGCTGAACACTTATTCAATCAAAGATTCAATATATCTTACCAAGATTAGTAAAGAGTGAAGAGAGTGTATTGGAGGAGAATGCACACATGGATCCAAGTATCCATGCAGCGCACTCCTAAAGTCTCTTCTGGTTTGGCCACAGTATAGATCCTAAAAGTAGGGTTAAGAATAAAATTGTACAGTGGAACGTAAAACTGTGAAGAAACTCCCAATAAGGCCTGCAACTAAAGCAAGTCACCATATAAATAGTGGGACAGTAAGAAAAACGCGACTGATCAGAGGCGTCTCACTACGGCTGGTTATAGAGAAAGTTCTGGAAGTTTGGAAGTCCGAGCACACATTAACTGTCTAAAATCAGAAATCAAGCTGGCTGGGTTCTAACTCGGTGCCTATGGGGGCCTCGCGCGCTCTAAGGTTGGCCACAGAGGCGGTAATATTGTGTGAGGTTCTACTATCTTTCTCGTGTAAATGCTGCGTGCTGGTGAAGTTCCGGTGTTACAGGAGAATTACATAAATGACCGTACTCTTGGTGACCACACCTAGC